ATGGTTTTCCCTCTAGATTAATCTAGCATTCAAATCTGAACATCGATTTTTAGTCGAAATTCATGTCCAAATCTTACCCCAAGATTCGTATATAGACATGGGTCAAAAATGACCACCCCCATAACTCGGTCAAATCTCATCCGATTTCTACGAAGTTTGGCTTTCTCTTCATGGTTTTCCCTCTAGATTAATCTGGCATTCAAATCTCGACACCGATTTTTTAGTCGAAATTCATGTCCAAATCTTACCCCAAGATTCGTATATAGACATGGGTCAAAAATGACCACCCCCATAACTCGGTCAAATCTCATCCGATTTCCACGAAGTTTGGCTTTTTCTTCATGGTTTTCCGTCTAGATTAATCTGGCATTCAAATCTCGACACCGATTTTTTAGTCGAAATTCATGTCCAAATCTTACCCCAAGATTCGTATATAGACATGGGTCAAAAATTACCACCCCCATATCTCGGCCAAATCTCATCCGATTGCCACGAAGTTTAGATTTTTCTTCATGGTTTTCCCTCTAGATTAATCTGGCATTCAAATCTGAACATCGATTTTTAGTCGAAATTCATGTCCAAATCTTACCCCAAGATTCGTATATAGACATGGGTCAAAAATGACCACCCCATAACTCGGTCACAGGCAGAAGAAGGACGGAACTCCGTCCCCATAAAGTATATATATTCTTGATCAGCATAAATAGCTGAGTCGATCTAGCCATGTCCGTCTGTCCGTCCGTCCGTCCGTCCGTATGTATGAACACAAGGATCTCAGAACCTATAAGAGCTAGAGACTTGAAATTTTAGATGTAGATGCTCCTAGCTCCCGCGCAGATCGAGTGTTTCCGATAATCGATAATTTACTCCGTTTCCAAGCAATCGATAAAAATCGATATCGATATCCTGTTTTTTGGGCAATTTTGGTAAATAATAAGAACTAGAGTCACCAAACTTGACATATAGCTTCTAAAATAGAATATATATATGCATTTGATGTTAGAAGAAGAGGGTTCAGGGTATCCCCTAGTCGGGAGCTCCCGACTTGAACCTCTTACTTGTTTTATACTGCAATATGGATTAAATATTCATACTGGCATCAAAGAACATTCATTTTTGAAATTATATATATATGCATAACAAAATAGAGAACGAAAATTTCAGTTAAAAAATTAATGTCTGCAATCAGTATTTTTATTTTAATACTTTCTGTTAAGTAGAAACTTAAACTTTAAATTCCAAAAAAAAAGAATAATTCAATAAGATAAAAACCAAACAATTGACCAGTTGAAAATATGTTTACTTTTGTCAGACGGCACCTGTGTCCCTCCAAAACTTTAGAGTCAATTAAGCAATCGATCAAATTGGAATTAAGCGAATTTATAACCAACTGTCCGTCGTTGTCGCGTGGAGTGCAGAAGGCAGTAGGATTTGCTAACCATCCAGTAGTAGAGTAATAGACAGGAAATTTATGCAGTCAATGGTCATCATCAATTTAAAAGACCATTTGGCATATAAAGGGCTTGCAAGGAGAGCGCGATCTGTGCGTTTGAAATATTTGGTTTCTTTTCGCATTTGCTAACTCGGTCAATAGATTAACGACGTTATCGGGCAGTCATAAATCATTTTATAATTTCATATGCCACTTTCGTATACTGCGTATACTTTCAAAAATTAGATTGATATAATCCGCAAAAAAAAATTCAATTTGTTTATATAAATAAATATTTGTTACGAAACGGCACACGGTCACGGTGCGTGATAGATATATATTTCTGCTTGACCGTATAGTGCTCATCAGTAAATATGATAGATATGACTCAGAGTTACTTAGTATACAATATACATGTTCACACAAAGCGTTATCAGAAGTGGGGCAGACCCTTGAGGAAAAACCAAGCACAACAGCATTTGGCGATAATAACTGATTTTCAGTAAGGTTACGCCAACTATTTGGCTGCGTCACGTAGAATAAATCACATATAAATGGCAACAAGGCTAATTATGTTTATGTTGTTCTCTTTGCGGGTGGCCTTTTTTTATTATGTCAATTGGTTTTATTAAGTGCCCAATCACCTGATAATTACGATTATGACACTGCCCATAAACAGACTTGCTGAAATGCCTGAGGAATTGTAGACTGTGATCGCAGTCAAGTGGTTGTTGAATCTTAATCTAAAACAGAGACTTTGACAACGCGATAATATACAGAAATAGAAATATAATGTATATAAAACATTTATATTGTTGGTAATTAAAAAAACATTATATACAGACTTTACCCCATTTTATTGTCCTTAACAAGAGTTTGAAATGATTAACAATTAACAATCAAGTCGATTGTGCTCGGCCAGGAAATGCCCTGGGGCACAAACGTATCCATTATAATGACATAAAATTATAGCGCTGTTGCCCGTTAATATTAATAGTAAGTAGATACTTGAATATCTACTGTTTTTATTTTCCGATCTTTACAAACAAAATATAAATGAAATATACTTATATTTTAGAAGAAATTTGGTTTTCATGTATAAATTACTAGATACCTCCAACTTTTTGTATCTAAGTTTGTAGATATAGTTTTAGCTTTTTTATAAATTTTTTGGCTAAGGGTATAATTTGTTATGTGGGTTATACTTTAGTCACATGAAAAACAATCAACGATACATATACTTTAAGATGATGATAGCCAATTAACAGTTGTAAAAGAATTAGTAAATGTTCGGCACATAAAATGTGCTGATAATTCGTGACATATTCTATTATATAATTACCTTTTAGTTGAGTTGGGTATATTTACAATGATAAAATCATTATAATATACATACCATGCCCCCTCTCTTGTTACTCACTCCCAAAACGTATACTGTCCTCTTCTTGGAACATTGCGTTGGCGTTTTCGCAGTCTACGCCGTACACGCGAGCCATTTCTTTACGTCATCGGCTTCGCACGCGTCTGCCAAGTGATCTTTTTGTTCTTTGGCTGATTAGCACATTGAACCAAACACAGAGAACGCCACCATAAGAAACCGACGAATTTGACGTAGCTCATCATCTGGTGTGTCCGCCAAAGACTATAAAATTTTAATTGACGCTTCATTTAGATTAATAATTTTTATTTTATTTAATTATTCATTTTTATTAATTAATGCTGCGTACAAAAATGGATCATTACTGACTATAACAAACACATGCACACTTATATGTACATTGTGTATACCCGAAATTGTCTGTGTGTGTTTTGGCACATACTAGACAGATAATGGCTGACAACTTTGTCTTTTACAAGGCGCTCAATTGCTGACCCTTTGTTGTTTTTTTAACTTGGGAAGATTAAAAGCAAAACTGGCTGTGCATTGTTATTTTTTTTGTGAACTGATTATGAGTTCCCGATAAGCGTACTGCTGGCTCGTGGTCTGTGTAGCTGCTATCAATATACCCTTTCTTAAATGTTTGATATGTACTAAATGCATATAACTGTGCGTTGAGTCAGCTACCCGAACTCAGATCGCAGAATTTTCCGTCTTTGTACTTTTTAAAAGATAAATTGAATATATATCTACATGCTTAAGTTGAATATATTCTGTTTTTTTTCCCCCCCTTTTTCTTGATGTACATGAATGTCCAAGTTCAATTAAATAAAGTTCATTCACTGCTGACAGTCCCTGGGGTAAAATGTAGTTCAGTGAGGCTTTATGGACATTTACACTGGGTATAGTGATTGAATTCAATCGATTTGAATGTATATACTACTGTAGGCTTGTGTGCGTGTGTATCTCATTAAGCAGCCAAACATAAAATAGGAAGACCTAAAAAGGCAAGGACAGCTGCTCGAAACATATATAGACAACTTTCTCAAATTTTCTGTTGAAGATTGTTCGAATGATTTGTGGTAAAGGCAATAATAAATCATTTTGTTCTATTTTTTTTAAATTGAAAATCAGAGGCGGCCTATACGTGCTTCTCTTTGCAAAATACATAGACAGGATAATAAAAAAGTTTTGAAAAGTGTTGAAGAGTTTTGAAAAAAAAAGTGTTTTCTCTCCTTGATCAAAACCCTACGGGATTCATACACTTTCACTTTTCCGCTCCCATTTAGTATGTTTCTGCATTTATTTAAAGTGACAGCCTGAAAGTATTCTTCTTTTTGTAATTATAATAATTATATGAAATTAATTATACAAAGAATAAAATATCAGAAGGGTATATAACTTGGTCTACTTGCTGGTATTTTAAATAAGGCTTACTCGTTTTTACCACAGCTCTTTCTTATGATCTTACCAGCTATGTTATAAGTAGAAAGCGGGTGCATTTGTGAATTGGGTAATTCTTCAAGTAAAGCACCCATTACCGTAAATATACCTTTGGCCTGGTGCATCAGGCTAAGCAGCGGATTTCTTGGATTCACGCGCATGTTGTTCATAACATAAACGCCTTTATTAAGGGGACAACTGAATGTATAGTTGCTTTGTTTTAAGACACTTTCCTTGGCTGGCTTAAATAGTGGTACGGCATTGAGAATACCTTGCATTGCGCATAATTTGGTGGTCACATTGTAAATGATACGTTTTTTTTCCTTAGGGCTCTGTTGTACAATTAACATTTTTGAGACGGGTGACAAAATAGGCTCGTTGATGGTGGTAGTTGATCCCACGCCGTTTTGATTGGAAAATGTCATGTTAACGATGAACCGTGGCCGATCATCTGTCCAGTTCGTGTAAATAAAATTCACGTAGTAACAGCTCTAAATAGTCAAAACCGTAATTAATGCCACTTGAAACGGATACGGATAGATACCTCTTTGCACTCGACTTCCATATAGATGGATAGTGATATCCATATTGTTACAAGCACAAATACGTCGGGTAATATGTGCATAGCCTTCTCGTATGTTAACAGATAACTATATGAGCAGGGCCAACAACTGAGCCCTATACTTGTATTGAAATAAAATAAATTCAAAGCAATTATCAGACATCATTAGGGGGAAATTATTATTTCGGCTGAAAACAAAGCAATTACTCCAAAAATAATATATTAAATTTTTGTGCCAACCGCAAAATTTCAATTAGCTTCCGATGCACCCGCTTCGAACTAGTGGTATTTAGCACCTGAGATAGTTCGAGCTCATTTTCAGTGGAAGTGACTTCATCCGCCAAAATGAATCGAGTCATGAATATAGAGTGAGGCACTTGAATGTATGCGATGCGTTTCAACTCAGCATCAAACCTGTCGAAAATATACGAAGTTACTAAGACGTAATTTTGTAAATGTATAAGAAATGTATCTTACGCCTCGTAACTATACACATTTGTATTTGCACCCATTCTAGTAAGAGTCTCAACAAAGACATCATAATAAAATTTCAGTAAATTCTCGTAGTTTTCTTCTAATATGAACGTTGATACGCTCGTAAACAAAAACGATATAAGGTCGTGTATAACAGAATCATACTGCGCGGTTTGAAAATCGATTATTTTTAATTGCGTCGGCTTGCCAGATTTATCTGTGGGAGTTTTTTTTAGAAGAATTGTTGAATGAATCTATATCGTTAAATGCTTTCATACACTTACTTACCATATTTGAACATTAGGTTCATTGTCCAGAAATCTGAGTGGATTACACTATTAAATGCATTATCTTCGATGGGCGGCGCTGCTAGAAACCTAAAGAATTCAGTTGACAGCTTTTTAACATGCGCTATCATTGTCTGATCGTTGCCGGTTGCTTCCGCAATATCCACTAATGTTTCCGCTATCATCGCTGCTTTCGTTTCCGGTGCGGCTGCATGCCAATCGAACTTGTGAAAGAACGGTCTAAGTTCCATTTCAAAGACATTAGGGTTCTTCAATCGAAGAGCAATAGTCAGAGCATGGAATTGCGCCATATACCTTAGCACCACATGTGTATGGAGCAAATCAAAAGGCTCTAACCTCTGTCCCGGCACGTAGCTGCTGTCCCGGAGATCCTCCAACACCAATATTGCGTCCTTATCCACAACGTTTGCGTTTGGGATAAGGGATATGCGTGAGCCAAAATACTGCGCAAAGCCATCAAATTGTGCGTTTCTGGGTATGCCTGCCTCCTCCTGTAAAGTGGTCAATGCAGGTGCTAATCTCTCGTAAATTGCAATTTCTGCCAAACAGGTGCGTTCGGGCTGTATAAATTGCCACTGTTTTGGGTCTGTGGGTGGCACTTTAGCTACAAACCGCTTAGAAAACAGCTTACCATCGGGACACTGCACTTTGGCTCGAATGGATATTAAAACACTGCCGTAATTATCACCCGGCTGTGTTAAGCTTTCTACTTCATACGAATAGAGGCTACCGCCATTAAGTGCTGGCTCAATTACTTGACCCAATCGTTGAATTACTGGCAGGTTATTCATTCTGATGAGTTCCACGTAGCGTCGTACTGTAAGCAAGCGCGCTATTGATGTAAAAATAAAACAGAGCGGTTGGGGTCTGAAGCATACACAATACGCTAGATTTTCTGGCTATCGCTCAGATAACGTTTGTATGTAGCAATCTTTTAAAACTGATAAAGACTCCTCTTTGTTTCTCTCTCTCTTTTATTTTCGCCGTGTGCTAAGCAGATCATATAAGCAGAAGCCAGAAGTTCAGGGCAGTCGAAACAAAATGCATGCTTATATTCAGTTTAGTCTGTCCTTAAGTAAGAATATTAATAAATATGAAATTTTGGATGTACTTACGACAGAGGTTTGGATCTTTGTTCATTGTTTGGCATCTAAATCATTTTGGCATCTCAATCTGGCAACACTATTCTTGGTCAAAATTCATGAGAAAATGGTACCCTCAAATATCCTATATAGACATAGGTCAATATTTCCCATCTCCATAAACCTCGAACCTCGTCCGATTTTCATAAGGTTTGGCTTTTTGTTCATGGTTTGGATTTTTCTTCATGGTTTAACCTCTAAACCAATTTGGCATTTTAATCTGGCAACTCTATTCTAGGTCAAAATTCATGTGAGAATGGTGCCCTCAAATATCCTATATAGACAAGTGTCAAAATTTCCCACATCCAAAACTCGTTCAAATCTCATCCGATTTTCACGGGAATTGGACTTTTGGTTATGGTTTGTCCTCTAAATCAATTTGGTATCTAACTCTGACAACCCTATTTTTGGTCTAAATTCATGTGAAAATTTTAAAATATCATATATAGACATATGTCAATATTTCCCAGCCCCATAACTTGGTCAAATCTCATCTGATCGGTTTCAAACTCACTTTCAAAGATTTTTGATAGAATTTATTTGTATAAGTAGCAATCTTCTAAAACTGATAAAGCCTCCCCCTGTCTCTCTTTCTCCTTTTTATTTTATCTTGCGCTAAGCAGAGCATATAAGCAGAAACCAGAAGCTTAAGGCAGTCAAAATAAAATGCATACATATATTTAGTTTAGTCAAATATGTTAAACACTTTAGCCAACCTTAAAATTTCACCAATTTTAAGCAGTATTTTTTCACCTCCTCTGTTTTTAGTTAAAACCGTCAAATCAACATCCTTGTAATCGCTTGGAAGCGTGTTGTTGTCAGCCAAGAGTACCTTCGTCATGAAGAGAGCATGTGGCACCTGTATATGCGCCACACGTTGAACTTCCTTGACAAAACTGTAAGTAAATAATTTTGCTATTAGATATGTACTGATATTAATGTTAACAAAAGATTATACAAAGACTTAAATTTTAAAGACAGTTTTAAAAAGCTAAAAACTATTCTGACTCAATTTTGAAACTCTGAATGATTTGCAATTTTTTCGTTGATAACCATGTTATCAACCAAAACCTTGAGCACATATTTTGACCGTCCTATCGCCTGTTACGTAATGGGGAAAAGACAGTAATCTACTCATGTTATCAACATTGTTTTAGTTTCATAAAAGTTCTCTGTTCTGAAGTAAGAATAATAACTAATATGAAATTTTTGATGTACTTACGCCTCATAGCTATAGCCTTTTGTATCCACATTCACGGTATGCAATGACTGAATGAATGCTTCGTAGTATATGCGTAGAAAATGATAATAGTTTTCTTCCAACACCAATGTATCTACAGTATACAGATATTAATATGCATTTTGAGCATTCTTTTAGAATTGTTGTTATTAATATAAACTGACCTACACTTGACAGCAGTAAAAAGATTAGGTCGTGGACCACCGACTCGTATTGGGCAATTTGAAAGTCTACAATTTTAAGCTTAGCGGGAAGGCCAACATCATCTAAATCAAATTCAATAATTAACGAGCTCTGATAATAATTTTTTCAAAACGCTTCTTACCATATTTGACCATCATGTTATTTATCCATAAGTCCATATGAACTAAAGAAAAGTTTAAATGTATTACAATTACTGTCTCTTTCGATATACAGAGAGTAAAATATGACATTTACGGAAAGTAAACTACCCTACCTACAGAGGTCCAAGGCCCACTCTCTACATGTTTAGTTGCCTGAAAGGCATCAAAGATGTCCAGTAATTCTTTTACGCGCTGATAAACGCCATCATCGTCTTTGCAGACATCCTTAACGTCATTTAAAGTTTCATTGTTTAACACATCTTTGGTATCAGGTCCCATATTGTCACCCATATTAAATTTTTTGAAATACGGTAAAACATTTTGCTCAAAAACTTTTGGTTTTTTTAGACGAAGGGCAAGGGGCAAGGCGTGGAACTGCGCCATGTAGTGCAGAATGAGAACCGTATGCTGCAGATCGTACGGCTTGTGCCTATTGCCAGGTTTATAACCACGTGCCGTTAAGTTTTCCTGCACAAGAACTGCATCTCTGTCAAGCTTACTGGTTTCCGTGCTGAGTGAGATGCGCGAACCAAAGTAACGTGGAAAGCCATCAAAGAGATGGATTGGCAATACGCCGGATTCAAGCTGTAGCTTTTCGAGCTCCGGTACCAAATACTTGTAGACGGCATTTTCCGTAATGCATGTACGTTCGGGTTGAAAAATTTGCCAATACAAATCATTGGTAAGTGGCGGTAACTTTGCAATTAGTGGCAAATCCTCAAGGATGTCATTCGATTGTTTAACTTTCGCATTGATCGCTAGCATAATACTTCCATAATTATCACCGGGCTTAGTCAGATATCGGCTTTCGTAGGATTCAAGTGTGGCGCCGTTCAAATGCGGCTCAATAACTTTGCGCAAATCTGTAATTTCGGGTACTTCTCCCATTATTGAGGTGTGCTTTGCGGTTACACTGACGTGCAGTGACTGAATGAAATCGGAAAGTAGAGCCCACACTGCTTTTCATGCTCGTGTAATAACACACACACATGGTAATGTAGATAATAACAAATAATTGTACAATTACTGATAGTATGAATATTTGCATGTGTGGGTCACAATAGACTAAAAAAAATTTACTCAAGTGGCGCAGATAACATGAATTGTAGACGAACTATTTTCATTTCTGGCTGTGTTCACTTTCAACAAGTGCTCCCTGAATAAACACAACGTTTTTGATTCGAATCTTTTCATGATTAACTGTATTGTGTATGCCTGGTATCAGTTGAATAAGTCAATCAGTTGCGAGAGTGCCGACAACAACAACAATCAGTACTGGCAACAAGTGTATATCTTCTTCCCTCCGTATCGCAATACCATATGGCGTCTATACCAATTGACTTTTATTTATGATCAATTACATGTTAATGTTAATTATGGCATGAACATTTGTTGCATTGAATGAACATTAATTAACGAAATTTTTGATTTTGGCGGCATTTTGTATGCAATACGGTCACACTCTTAAAGTGTGCGGCTTGGCAGTCATACACGTAGGGACGCACTTACACTTATCGATATATCGACTGCAAAAGAAAAACAGTCTTCTCGTTTGTTTATGTATACATTCAATTGCAAAGTATTTTGATTGAGAATAACTAAAATGGATAATTATATGGCCGCCATTCAACAGGCCGCACTGCAGCAGCACATTTGCAATGCAGCCAACCTGATGGGCATGCAGTTGCCTTTCCCACTTGGACAGCATATGAATTTCGTTGGCGGCGACTACGGATATGGGCGATCAGAAGGATCACCATCTCACGCTCAAAATGATACAGAGGACCCAGATGACGAAGATGCAGATGATGAAGAGCAAACTCGCACCTTGTTCTGTAATAACCTGGATGAACGCGTAACAGAGGAAATACTCTATGAAGTATTTCTGCAAGCAGGTCCCATAGAAAGCGCGCGTATACCACTGGATAATACTGGACGTCAGCGTAATTTTGGATTTGTTACTTATCAGCACAAATGTGCAGTGCCCTTTGCAATGGAGCTCTATCAAGGACTTGAACTATTTCAAAAGAAAGTACTAATCCGGCAGCAATGCCCAGATAAACCTAAGGTACCTTTTATAGGGCAAGGAAGGACACGCAATCCGTTTTCTCAAGGGTTTGCTTCTCCTGCTCCACCAATGAACGACCACGCTGGTCCACGTAATGCTCGTCACAGTATGCTCGACCGCACTGCTGGCGTCCAAAATAAATACAATAGTGATTTGCGGCGCCGCAGCGACAGTGCCGTAATGGACCGCAAACGGCCAAGACCACATCAGCAGCAACAACACAACAACAGTGGCGGCAATCGAAGGTCTGATCAGCGATATATCAACGGAAAGAGATTACTGTAGTGTGCAATAAATTGCATAAAATTCGTGGTTTTTTTATTAGTCTTGAATATACAAAGGCGTAAATGTAGTATCTAGGATCTATTGCGTTCAAAACATGTCATGATTACGATTATGGGCTTTTGTTTTCACTGTACATCTAAAATCTATTAAATATGGTAACCTTTATATACATATATTCGTATAAATTAAGAGATTAACGGGTAATGCTTCTCAGTGTCTTTTCCACATTTCGATATGTTCGCGGTGGTATTACCTCTAACAGTAATCGCTGGTAGCTTCCGTGCTCTGACAAAGCACGGAACAATGACTTGGCATAGCTGCGTGTTTCGAGACTGCCTTCAAGCAGAAGATTTGCACCAACCATAAAAAATTTGTCGCGACTTTCACGTCCCATCGAGTAGATGCGATCGCAGCCTAAGCGTTCGACTAGTCTAAACAGCAGCTTCGCAGTCGTCGTCCGAACTATGGCATTCTGGTGCTGAGCACCTTTGTTTGTCAATATGTTGAGTACTTTCGGAGGTTGCACGTTATCCACCAAAGACTCCAAGGCTCGGGTGGCATCGGCACGCAGGAAACGATTTGTGTCTGCTGTGCGGTGCAACAACGCACAGACCAGGTCATCGCACTCAATCTCCAATGATTTGCATTTCAGGGTAAATAACTCTGTTGCGGCCTGACAGGCTGCACGGGCAACCTGTGAGCGTAAATTGCGTACAGAGCGAGTAAGTTGGATGCATGTCATATGCATATGGCTGTCCAAAAAATCTGCATGGTGGCGAATCAGACGCACCATATACTTCAGACCTGTTATGTTCACTTCCCAGTTATTAGAGTCAAGCTGATCAAGCGTCTTTATTAGGGCTTCTCGTGGCTTCTCAAAGCGTGACATATGCGGCGGAAACAATTCCGTCGGTGACATCTTGATGGCCTGTTTCACAGGTGAGACGCGACGCTGACCACGCAGAAGATATGAAGTCTTCGACTTTTGTTTTAGCGATGTATGCTGTGATTTTGGAGCCAACCTGCTGTTGTCAGGATGGGAGCCGGTCTGAGAGCTGTTATCGGTTGTGGTGCTACTGATGTCCAGGGAACCTTGCTTAGAAGCGGGTCTTCGGCCATAGAGCGAGTCCAACGAGATGCTACGTGAGTGTATGGCTCTATCTTCATGTGTGATTTCAGCATTTTTGCTGGATGAGGCTCGCGATAAAGATGCGAGGAATGTTTCATTGTCTGTTGATAATTCTGTCAGTTGTTTTATGGGCGGCGACTCTACGGCTGTTGTTTGCAGCTCGTTCTGGAGCTCCTCAACTACTACGAAGCTGTTGTTGCTATCAATCTCTTCTTCAATGGCCAAGGATTTAATTGACTGCGCACGTGACATTTGTGGCGTGGCATCTTCAATCTGTGTCTTAATGCTTTCTGTTTTGCTCTGCAGGCTGTTAACGCTTTCGTTGCGTTTCAATGTGGCCTCCTGAAAGGGTGACTCCGTCTCTTCTTCTATGTCGTCTACCACGAGCTCCCCAAATTGTTGCTCTAAGTCGTCCCGGCCATTAGAGTGTTGCACATTCGGTTTGTCCACCTCGATTGATTTAGCCGAGGCAGTTGACTTTTGCGAATAGCTGGTTGACCTAACGGACAGAGGAGAACCTTCTGATTGATGCGGCCCGGATGTTACTGCGAATGCCTGCACTACGGTGGACGTTGTATGTTCATGTGCTGGTTCGACCTTAACACTGTGAAAGAAATTATAATTAGTTGGGAATTCACAGTGTATATAATGCAACAATAACATCCATAAAAACTTACAGCTCAGTTTGTGAAAGAACCTCATTCACTAAAGTTTTATCAACTGTTTGTGGTGTGTCGAGCACTTGCCACGTCACATTTTCAGGACTTTTATCAATTTTCATCGATTTTCTACGCTTGGCGTGAGAACTACAGCACAGGCAGAGGCAGAGGCAGCGATCATAAGGTATCAGCCTCTGTTGCGCCGCAATCGCTTTTTCCCGTATATATTCCTTAACTGTGTGAAATGTAGTGCGAAATAGTCCCAGTAAAATAGCGGGTTGACCGCTACAGTAAAAGGCATTTTGCATTTTACTAAATTGAATCCTTTTGCTAGTCTCTTATACACACTCTAGTTCGAGAAATACATTTTGTCACTGAACTTAATTAAACTTATTAAATTTGACACTAGCCGGAGGACTGTCTGACCACTTGAAGCCGTAACGCCACTTCGCAAACTGTTTGCAAGCTTCGTAGAACATCGGGTAGACCACTTCTCCGGCCGCACCAAATGGAAAGAAATGCCGTCTCCACAACTATGTAAGCGGTCTTTATTTCCATTTCAGGAAAACACAATACTGCTAAAGTTGCAAATGTAAAACAGGACATTGCTTTTTCCACAGTAAGCAATGCCCGCACATACACACATATTAGACAGCCCCTGCCCATTGCATGGGGCACCCCAGAATATATACCAATACTAAGGTTAACAAGCGATGACGACGACGACGACGAAGGTGGGAAGCTAGCCATTGGTCTGCGTAGCACTGGTGGTATTTTCAGGTTGACTTTGTGCTTGTAATCGAGCGCCTTCTTAGTCATGTTCGGGCTACTTCGTGTAATTGACGAAGACGTCCAATGAAAAGCAAACTAACTCGAACCAATTCGACACTTGGGTACCCTATCTTGTGCATATATATGTTTAGAATAAATTCCGTAAACCATATAGTTTAACATATGCAAAGATAAATACCAATTTAATTGATTATCTTTCAAAAAGGAGACAGGAATTTAATCTGTTTGGCATATAGAAGTGAATTGAGAATTGAATTAATATTGAATATTCACATGACCCCCTCTCTCTCTCTTTATACTTAAAACTTAAATTAGTGTATTTCTTAAAGCCAAGAAAAAATTAAATTTTTTGCAAAGGATAGCTTGAAAACTCTCACAAATAAATGACAAAATATTTAACTAGATTGTGACGTGCTCTAACAAAGGGTATGGGCCACAGCTACTTGTAGTGGTCATTTGAAGGTTCGTCAGCAGCCCCCACGGGTATATTGGCCATCCTGTACCTACTCCATAAATGTCCCTGATGAATGCTTCATCGCGCATTTAAATTATTTAGGTTAAATAACGAAATTGTTGGGCTTTTATATGCCACCTTTAAGGCGCCAATGTTGTTTGGCGTTAGGTGGCCAATTTTTGGGGTCATAGGTACAACAACTAAATTTGCTGGCCGGCAGTTTTTTGTTTAGGGAGCGACGGAACTACCTACCTATTAACATTCGTATAAAATAAGACTAAGTATTTTATAATGTAGAATTAACATATGGTGGGTTAAACTGCTGTAAGTTTTTGTTACCTGGTTTAAGATGTATTGTCTTTGTGCACACTTTGTTAAGTTGTGTCAAGAAAAGATTTTTTAACTTACTTGAAGTTACCCAGGTTTTCAGCATCTTTATTCAGGAATGTATCTGATTGGCTATTGATATCCGGTTTTTTAGTTTCCTTTAATTTCGAATTTGCTTTTGTAGAAAAGGGAAAAATATATATATAACTATATAACATATAAACTTAATTTGAATTATTGTTATTCACCTTGAGATTGACTGCAATTATCCATCCAGTTTTGCTGTGCAAAAGTATGCTGCGAACTGTTTAGCTTCTTAGGTACATGCTGTACATGCCTGTGACTTTTTTGTAGATCATCGTTTACTTTTGGGATCTTCGTATCTTCGAAACTATATGGATATGGAGTTCGCTGTATATTGCGCATAAAATTGCTAATGAAGTCCGTTTGCCGCCTCATAGCCGGAAATCTGGGAGTAGATTCTTTAGTGTGAACATTTGGATTTTATTCGTTGCACTTACCGGGAATTTTGTCTAGTCAAACGCCTGTTCATGCCACCATTGCAGGTTGTCAGCTGTATAAAACTACTACTTCCACTTCCACTACCACTACTGCAGGATGTTGTCGTACTGTCCGTGCTTCTTCCGTCCACTGAAGATTCAGAGCATGCTTTGGTTACCACACGACGCTCCAAGCAGTTTACTTGATTGATAACAAGACTTTATGTATAATGCATATTAATTGTTTATGGGTTTCCATGGACTTACCATTCTTACCACTAGTGCCATAGATTTTTTTTTTAAAAAAGTCCTGATTGCACAATATTGGGAATAAAAGTACTTATAATAAATACATATTTTAAATGATCAAAAAAAGTGATGGAGCAGTATCAGACAAGTGTACAGGAAACTTACATTAGAGGCTCTAGACATGTCCAAGGCTTCGGGTGGTGAATGGAATGAATGTCGATGCAAGTTCTCATTTGCGTTAAAGCTAAAAGAGAAATGTTTAAACAATTTTAAATACTTGTACTTATTGCTAAGAAAATTGAGAAAAATCAATTAACCTATGATTATTTATTCCGGTGACTTCCTCATCTGCATTTTCTTGAATACGTTTTTTGTTTGCCAAATGCTGACGTCGCCTTTTGACAGCATTTGGAGAGGCAGAGCCTTCTCCCAGCGCAATCCAATCCATATCTGCGCCAAAACGAGTGATACCAGTCTGTTCTGCTTTATGAAATGTGTACAAAACGGATCCATCAGGGGTAATGAGGGGCAATTGGAGGCGGGACAGACGCATTTTCACAGCCTTGAGCAGAGCAGATCCCGATTCGATATCATCGGTTATCTGAGCAACAATTTGTAAAATCTGGTCCACCGAAGAAATATCAGCAAGCACAGCAAATACCTCCAAAGCCGCCTGGCGTACCCGACGCTTTCTATTAAGGGCAGCATAGGTTACCTGTGCGGCCAGGATGTTGATGTCGAAACAGGTGCCGGGAAATGACATCAAGGAGTAGATGGACATTTGCAAAGCGTGATCACGAAACTACCGTGCGATATTGTTAGAAAGCAATCGTAGCAAGTATTTTAGTCAATACCTCACCTTTGAGCTTTTGGCATGTAGATAGTCAGGCGCCGTTAATTTGGCGACAATTGTCCCTGCAGGCAGGCGCTGCATAAGTGCCTTGCACACACGGTTTGCACCTGCGTTTCCCTGGCGACACAGTCCCGAGAGTATCTGTGGCGTACGCTCTTCCAAGTTGTCCAACGGCAGGCGTGAAATCAGATTTACCAAGACTTCGCGCTTAAGCTCAGCCACCTCGAAATTTCGCTCCGAAGAAAGTAAGGTGCGCAGCAGACTATCCAAATAGGGCTGCACCAGGACCAGGTTGGATGATGAGCTTAGTGCTACTTCAAGTTGCGCTATGCCCTGTAAACGATTTCGCCAGTCCTGTAGGGGGAAAAGATTGAATAAATGGTTTCGTTTATTATGGCAAATATTTTATGGCCGAGTTCTGAGTCATTTCAATAATTGCAGTTGGGGTCCATTGTTTCTACTAAATACAATTGGAGCAAGCCGGCAACGATAACGTCGCTTTAAATAATTTCCTGACTGCCCCATGCTCTATAAAATGTTTTTATTCGCGCCTTTTTGTATTCTGTACGCGCTATAATTTTTGTTAATGTTTTATTATTTTTGTGCCAGTGCTGACCCAGTTTTTGGCACGCTCTGTGCCCCACTCTATTCCATGCCAAGCTGAGCTGCGTCTCCATCAGCCAGGGCCCAATGTATTTTTTGCTATTTTATCGTCCCTTATGCATGCTGCTACTATGTTATTGTTGTTTTTCTCGCTTCTCGCTAGAAATATCGCGTGCATTTAAATGATTGGTCTGCAGGAGCTACCAAAAGCACAATACATAGCATGCATCACAGCTAAAGCTCTCAAGTTTTTTTTGCGAGGTGCCACTAGATGTGAGTTATACTATGTTATGAGTTAAGTGATCCTTAAGGATTTTATTTTCATGGCAATACAAATTTGTAGGGACGTTTAATCAAAATTATTTAAAAAAAACAATAATTATTAAATAATGAAGAGCTGTCACATTCATAGAACCAAAACTTGTTCAAAAACTTCGACGGAAAGCGCACTCATAAATTCCACGTAAAAATGTGGGGCTTTTGAATTGTTAACGTCAAAACTTAATAGGTCATTGGTACAGGGGGTGCACACACAGGAGCCCTATCAACGGCTGGAATGGTTCTGCCATTAATATGTGTGTGTGGTGGAGGTTCCCATTCCTGCCGGAGTTTTCATTTGGCCGGTAATAGCAATGTATATGAGTTATATGAAATTGAGGCAATGCGTGTCGTGTACATAATAAGTTTTGGGTGGCTGCCATTATGAAGGAAATTGTGAACGCATATGAAACTGTATATATCCTAGTGACCCAGTTAGCGTATGAAGCGGCCACTGGCACTAAGAATAGCGTGCGTTTAATATAATTTTTTTAGGGTATGCATATCTACGGCAAACAGAAATGCATCTTACTTGTACTAGTTGAATTTGGCTACTTACTCCTGACCGCAAGTCCATTATTGTTTTGTGGTTGACAATGTCCAGGTCCTCCCAGCTGTTTGGTGTAGCTGCTGGTTTCGTTGGCAAACCAGATCCCGCTGCAGAAGCAATAACTGGGTCAGTATTGATGCTATCACTTCCACGTAAAGAGCGTGGTGAGGGATCCGGATCACGCTGCAGATTATGCAGAACTTCTATTTCTTTGTGTGGTACTTTAGGACTGGCAGTGTTACTGCCAGCAGGACTGATGCTACTGCTGCGGTAGACAGGAGAGTAGGAGACGTCCCGCTTTGGCGATGTATAGGAGCTAGTTTTGTTATGTGTTGGCCTTGGCTGTTCCTTACTTTGCTGTGGCGACTGAGCACTTCGAGCACGAGGCAAAGGCTTTGTATTGTCAATTGGAATCTCTAAGGTCAAAGCTGTCATTTTGTTACTGCCTGCCGGAGTTAAATTATTGTCTGCGTGTTGTCCCTCTAACAGTGATGCCGAAGATGCTGTCTCATTAGGCGGCAATGAGCCAATGTTGAGTCTGCTGTAGCCTGGCACCGTACTTGCGATATTGTTCGTTGAGGAAGCCGCATCGCTGTCGGGTGTGCGCATTTTGACAACTTCTCCACCAAAAGTAACACGTTTCAAGTTACGAAACGGCGTGCTGAGATTAGTTTCATTCTGCGTCATTTCTTCCATTTCGGAATCGCTAATTATCTGGAGTATGCCCGCGTCCATTTCTCGTGGAGACTGGGGAGCACCAAATGGACGACACACAAGCTCTGATGCATCTATAATGGGACTATCCGTATCCTCGGTCTCGGTTTCCGCCTCGAGAATTCGCATGGTGAGCGTATCATCGTTGATTTGTATTTCCGTTTCCATTATAACCTTTCCTTTTTCTGGCAGTAGAGCTGCCTTTGGCTCATGTGAAATACTGCTGCTACGCCAAATGTGCTCTCGAGGCAAGGCTCTCCAAGCGCCGGCACTGGTCATGGAGCCATCAGTACGAAGAGGCTTGTTTGATATTCCATATACTTTACATAGTTGGTTATAGAGCGACAAGGCATCCACGCCGTCCACTTCGTCTAAATATCTTTCAATCTCTTCCGCCCCCAACAGTTCACTTATTTTGGCCAACACCTTCAGAGTAATCTCCTGTTGTGTTTGTTGAAGCTGCAAGCGCTGCACTAGTCGCTCAATGGTGTGCTTTACTATGAAATGACTTTGTGGCGTGTGCAAAATCGATTGTAGTAATGGCGGAAGTGATAGCAAAACCCCGCAGCTGAGGCGCTCATCAAAGGTTGGCTGCTGAGCTAGTCCAGTGTCCAAAATCTGTAGCATGACCATTTCCGGTCCGCCTGTCTCCGAGAGATAGACCCGCAAGCAGTCCAGTGCACCTTTCCGTACAGTGGGCGCCTGGTGTCCGAGATTTTTTATTAAATCAGTTAAAAAATGCATACTATGCTTGTCAGCTTTTGATCCCATTATGACCAAAACGTCGACGAGAACGCGTAATGCATGTTGCCGCACCTGCCATTCGGGATCCTGCAAACGCTCGTGGAATTCGGCAAACATGGTGGCCGGGCAAATTGTTTCCGGCAATCGACGAGTACGTAAAACATGCTCCCACAATGGGGTAAGCTGGACAGCAGTCACCGTTTGCTCGTGGCGACGTTGCATTTTAGTTGGGCAGATAGTGATGTGCGAGTCCGCGCTGGTGCTTGACTGATTGTTGTTGTTATCCTTGTCCTCGCCTATGACATTGTTCGTGCCGCTCATGTGATGAATGACATTCTCATTGGCGTCGCTATTGCCATTAGCCGGCCTCGTTGCATTAGCCGAACTATTATTTCGCTCGAAAAAGCGCTGAAAGAACATGACGAGCTTCGGTTCTTCGTTTTTTTCTGTTGTTGCTGTAATTATCTAACTAGTCGCATTGAATGCCTTTCTTCACTTGATTTTAATTTATAACTGTCACGCACGCTTGCATCCGGTGCAGGGGCTTCTATGACTCGTATTTACATTTATTTCAATGTCATTTTTGTTTTGGCTCTTGGAACTAAGTATTTCACTACTGGTCTTTTCCAGTTGCTAGCAACGACTGCAGCCCTTAGCTCTTTGAAACTGCTTTTTGTAGCAAGTTGGCCAACTTCACAAAGTGCCACAGCTCGGGAAATTACCCCCTTATTTTCGGCAGAGGGACTGCGCAAGTCACAAATCCTCTCCTTAAACAGCTGCGCGAACTAAAAGTGCAAGCTTATAAACAACAAGAACTTTTGGCAAACAAAACAAAAACTCAATTTTAATTTATATTTATTGTAACATACAAACACTAACTATATTTTAGCTAGGTAATTATTTGAAAGTTTTAGTTGCATACCTTAAGTCTCATATTAGTAGTATAACTAGTAAAAATGCTAGCGAGAGATAGAAAACATTTATAATGTACTTAAATGGCAATAAATAGTTTAGCTGAACTATTTTAATATAGCACAAATACATACATGTACAGAAGTTATTTGATTGCTAAAAACTAAGAGTATAATTCAAGAAGTGCTAAGTTATTAAAACTACACTTTCCAACCAGCTTGTGTTGGCCTTTGCTTTACTATTGGCAAATGCATATCAGTCAGTACAATTACGTTAGAATCCTATATGGATATGCACTTAGGATGTGTAACCTTGATACAAGGTGTTAAGGTTTTAAAGTAAACTTTCATAAATATCAATGCAATAGTTAATAGAAACTTAGCTTAAACAATAACGATACATTTTCGTTGAACATTACAAAATGAAATGGCGACGCTTAACACTAGTAAAGGGTTAAAGTCTTACGCTTAATATACATACTCGGTCCTGAGTATTTCACACATACTCCTCTGGTGCTTTTTGTACATTGGGTATACGTAAAGTCGACACTGTCTGGGTGGGCTGCTGTTGCTGTTGCAGCGGGCTTGTCGTGTCTGGCAGTTCTGCTATGTCCTTGAATACGCCCATTAGATTCTCATAGCTTGGTCCCCAGTTTAGCAAATACTCCCAACCCAATGTGGTTGCAGATGGCGAAGCGTTCCCATTTGCTTTGCGGTAAATGCCGCTCAGGTGGTTCGCTAGATCGTCGTCGCTGGCAACAAGTGTACTGAGCGAGCCGCGAAAAGATGACTCAAATCCGTCATAGGCGTGCGGTGGTATGGGCGGAGTTTTGGACACATTTTGGTTCCTGCTTGGTTCCCCGCTGATTGCACGCGCCACAGGACTACGACTATCGAGCATGCTTTTGCTGGTAGAGTATTTGCCATCGCCGCTTAAACTATTGTTGTCATACTCGATCTCAGAGCAAGTAAAGCTATCGTTGCCACTCTCATCTGTCGAGGTTGAACTATGCGCATCCACATCTCCGCCAAGAGACAGGTGAAGTGCACCACCTGGAACTCGAGGCGTCGGCGCTTCACTGCTTGATGACAAATCAAGGGTCGAAACTAGGCTGCAAGTTCTAGGCCGAGCATTGAGTCTCTCAATTTCCTCTGCCGTGAGACCCATTGATGTCTGTGTTGGTGCTTTAGGCGGTGCCACAGGCTTTTGACGACTGGCACTGGAACTCTGACCGGACAGTTGCGACATCACAGGACTATTTAGGCTACGTTCGCTGTTGCTGTGGAGCGCATCCTTGCCAACGCCACCAGAGCTAGATGTGGTTGCCAGAAGAGCACTCTGCAACGGTTTGCCCGAGATATCATGCAGGGTTAGAATCCTGGGTTGTTGAGAGCTTAACTCGGAGCTGGGCGATAGGCGTGCCAGTGGGGTAGTCTGGTGGGTGCGAGACGCACTTGTTGATGGGGGTGGTTGGTTGTTTTGATTGGGTACACGTGGTACAAATGGGGCGTTGACAGCGTGGCGCGGTGAATGTCGATGCTGCTGTTGGGCTGCTGTGCTCTGGTGTTTGTGGTGTGTATAGGACGCTACGGGGGGCGTGGTTGCTTTATACTTACGCATGCCCCCCGCCTCGCGGTACCCCTTGTAATGGTAAACGATATCAATATCGGACGGCGCAATTGAGCTGGCGTTTTCTAAATCGTAGTGTTCCGGATACTCGGAGCCCAAATCCACAGAGCTTCCATGGTCGAGGGGGTGCAGTGGGTTTGGTGGTGGTATAGAAAGATGATGTTCCTCTCTAATTGGTGGACTCTTGCCGACCACCTCGCGTTCAATGATGTCTGGGCGTTGGGGACGTTGCTGTGGCTGCGGATGGTCGGCGGTGGGTGGTAGTTCACTGCGTTCTTTGAACTTCTTTGTAATAAGCTCTGGTCCGGCCAAATGATGACCAGGCGGGCGCATGTGATCATTGTTGCATACGATTGGTGCTGGAGAGTCACTCGCATGTATACTACGGGAAATGACGTGGTCGGCTGTTTGGCTTTGAGTAGCTGGGGCGGGTGGGTGCTTTATTTTAAATCCTGGTACACCGCAGCTGAGGCTACCAATCTTTTCCTGTTTTCCCCGAAAGCGATAAATAACATATGAGCCGAATATAGCTACTACGAGTATGACGAAAAACACAATAACCAGTGTTATGCCTATGCTCAATGGATCAGCTACTTGGGCAGCATCGACACCAATATCTGTCCCTTTGCAGCCAAGTTCCACAATTCCATGTTGTTTAACTTCGTGAAATATGCTGCCTGAGCCATTAAGCGGCTGCAATTCATTATTGATGGAGAAATTGGCTATGCAGCCCGTAAAATGTTCTTCATTTATCAAAACGTTAGAGGCACCGCCCACACAAAGCGTAGAAAGATACGGATCTAGGAAGTCATGCACGCCCGCTACGTCCAACTCCTCGCCCACTTGGTGTCCATCAATAAGCAGGTGGAGGATGTGACTCTGGCTGCGGAGACTAACGTTGTGCCATTTGCCATCATTTAACGCTGCTGGCTCTGGCACAGTCATGTTGATGGACAGGTGCTGCTTTGAATAGTAAACCAGTTTGCCATTCAACAGGGACAATGAAGTGTACATCTGATTAGTTGCAGCATAAAATATCAATCCGTGTGACTTGTATGTGCGAAAGAGAAAACTCAAGACCTTGGGAGGGTCATAGAAGGATGTCGTTACAGCACTCGCGTTATACGATGACAGACGCTTTGTGCGACTGCCAAAGTTTGACCACGCATTGTTTTCGTTGTACAGATTGTCCAGAAGCTGCATGCGTCGATATTGTTCAGAAATTTTGAATTCCAGGAAACCACCACTGCTTATTTTGACAGGCTCCAGTGAGTTACCACAGTCAGGAGAGAGTAGCTCACCACCACACTGACACAGCGAGGTTGACCAGCGATCAATGCACTGGCCCGCATAGCTACTGCAGCGTTCCGCTGCCAGAGCTGGCTGGCAGGCCTGTCTATTGCAGCCTGGTAAAATGCCATGCTGCTGTATTGGTGAGCTCAAATTCAAAGCGCGTCCATTGATCGAAACACTGTGAACGCACCCAACAAGATCGTCACTGTGAATTTGACCCGGACGCTCGAGTATTGGATCTGCTGATTGTAAGCCTCCAATAAACAGAGGCTGTTTGTTGAAGTTAAGTGTGCTACAATAAAAGCGATAATTACTTTACTTTCACATTTGTGTATTTAGTTTAAAGTTTACTTACCCCATGGGAACAACATCGTCCGCATAACAGCTGGAGTCGCCGGGAATGCATTCCGAGCACACTTCACCAGATTCCGTACATTTGGCGATGCTCAGCGACATGACGCGACCATTTCGGGTGGCTGTTACTTTGTGCCAGCTACCATCGGCGAGATTGAGTCCTGCCACAACTGTGCTAATGGCAGTACGTGAGCCTCCCGAAGAGAAAACCGCTTGACCCTTCACCAGCTCAATGGCCAAAAAATCTGAGCGTCCTCCGTTCTGCAAACCGTAGTTATACACTAATAACGCCGTCGGCTTACTCGTAGCAAACACTATAGAAATATCGTTTGTTGTTGGATCCAAAGAGGGGAAGCTCATGAAGGATAGTGGCTCAAATCCGTAGCTAAAACGTTCACAATGACGCCCATAGCGACCTGATGGACAACTGCATTTATAGCTTGGTTTTAAGCTGACGCATAAGCCACCGTGCAGACACGGATTTGGTCGACACGAATCGGTAATACTCTCACACTGGCTGCCCCGATACCCGGGTCGGCAAAGGCAAAAGTATGAGGCTCCATCTGGGCTATGTTGGCAGCTGCCGCCATTGTGGCAAGGCTTACTCCAGCACACATCACTGCGCTCCTTTTGACACTCCTTGCCCTCTCGATTAGCCGGGCACTCGCACTGATAGTCATTACCCAGTCGTCGGCATTGAGCCTGCCCCTGGCAGGGGCTAGGTAGACAGGGATCCTGCCGTCTGGCGCACTGTTCACCCGCATAGCCCTTAGCACATTGGCAAGTGTAGTCGTGAATGATGCGCGGTCCACTAAGAACAAGCGTAGGGCTGTCGATTATGCTGAAGTGGCTCGTATCCAGCAGGCGAATTGTAGCACTGCAGACCCCGCCATTAGCGCAAACATTAGGTGTACTGCAAGGTTCATATCCTATTACTATATCCGTGTGCAATAGGTCGGACAGAGAAGAGCGCTTTTCACGAAGACGTTCGATAATTTGATGTGGTTGATGGTAGGTGAGGTTGGAAGTGCGCACGACAAATAGGGCTTCTAGATCTATATTGCTTGCGTTATTGGTGTCTATTTCAATTAGGCTGTAAAGAAGAATTTCATCACCAGGACCAAAGCGTGATTGGAGCATCTCTAGGGCTTGACGGTAATAATGCGCCAAAAACTGCGTAGCTGACATATTCCGTAATAAGAGGGGCAGAGTGTTGGCAAGTGTATTGTTGTTGAAGCTCTGGAAATCCACGGTCACCTTAGAGCTAACATCGCCATGTTTCCCATCATTACCAGTTACGTCGTATAGGTATGACATTGGCGTAGTCAATGACGTTGTGTACAGGTCACAGCCGCTCTTTATTGTCAGCTGTCCACTGCCTTGCAAACGACAGCGATAGTCTCCCACAATATCAACATCATTTGGGCGTACATCAGCTAGTTTCGTATTCGCGGGTAAATCACCATTAAAGATACTGACAGCCACATGGACAGTGCGCGGCGTAGATGGATTGTCATTTTGATCTAGCACCTTTATAACCAGCTTATGTTGGGAATGTTGTTTGGGGCTTCCGCTGTCCTCCACCTCAATTATGGCTTCTAGAATGGGGGTTGCTTCGCGATCGTAGCTAGCAGTAGACCTTACCAATCCTGTGTATTTGTCGATGGTAAACCAAGCTTTATGCTTGCCACCCACAATCTTGTAACTGAAAGGTGCTCCATTGTGCGGCAGGTCTGGATCGCTTGCTGCTAACGTCATTATTGATGTGCCTGCAGGCTCGTTTTCTGAGATATAGCCTAGAAGGCCATCTGAACTAAATATGGGGCCATTGTCGTTGATATCGTCCAAGTCAATGCGCACAGTAGCAGTGCCCGTCTGCGGTGGTAGACCTGTATCAATTGCACCTATAACTAGATTATAGTGCGCAATATCCTCTCGGTCTAAGAGTGCTGCAGTGCTGATCTCTCCGGTTTCTGCGTCGATCTTGAAACTTTGCTTTATGTTTCCGTTAATTATTGAGTATGTGAACTGATTGTTTTGCGGACGAACATCCTTGTCGATTGCTTTGACTGTTGTCACCATAGTTCCAAGCGGCACAGACTCCAATATTGTTGAAGAGTAGTAACGCTTAACAAACTCCGGAGGATCGTTTCCGTCCTGAATAGAGATGGTAACCTGCGCTTCAGCCGTATCATTTCCCCGTATGCTACCGTAATTTTTGGCCATTACCATTAGCACGACGCGATTCTGGGTCTCGCGATCCAAATTACGGGTGACATATATCACGCCTGTGTTTGTATTGATACCAAAGCCCTTATCATTACTAGAGCCAACCAGCAAATAGTAAATTCTACCATCTTCGCCAATATCTTTATCGGTGGCCTGCACCGATCCCACTGCAGTTCCCACAGACGAAGTTTCCGAAACATCAAAATGAAAAGCAGATTGCACAAACTGCGGATAGAATTCATTAACTCCCAAGACGTGTACATACAGTACTGCATAACTTTCCATGCTCGAGTCTGGATTTTTTGCTTTAATATGCAGCGTGTAACTACGGCGCTCCTCATAGTCAAAACTGGCGGAGGATAATATTGTACCATTGCTGACATTGATACTGAAGAAGTGATGATCGGTGCCCCTAGCCAGAAATGAATAGTGTATGATGGCGTTTTTTGGTGAATCCTTATCGGTTGCGTGTGCCTGAAATACAGCTGTTCCGACTGGTTTATTTTCTGCAATATAGCCGTGATATTCCGATTGATTAAACACCGGCGGATTGTCATTGACATCAGTTAGTATGATCGTGAGCATAGCTAACGCAGTCAAAGGCTTGTAGCCCAAATCCTTGACGGATATGTTTAAGTGGTATTCCTGCATTAGATCGTAATCTAATGACTGCATTATTATGATGGCACCTGTACGTTCATTGACATTAAAATAGTTTCTTTCGTTGCCGCCTGAAATAGCGTAGTGCAGCATGCCATTGGGCCCGGTATCTTTGTCTGTCGCAGAGACTGTGATAATCGTGGAGCCAATGGGCTCGTTTTCTGGCACAATCACTTGATAGCTCCGTGGGTTGAATTCGGGAGCGTGTCGATTTTCATCCGTGACCACCACGATAACACGAGTCTGATCTGATAGTGGTGGAACACCACGGTCGGTAGCCCTTACGTTTAGCTCAAATCGTGAATTAGCTGGCACTCTAATCTGTTTAATCAATGTTACCCAGCCGTCATGCTTATTGATGGTAAAGTAAGCGCTCAGATTAGAGCTAATCAACGAGTAGTCAATCTCCGCGTTGACTCCGACGTCGCAATCATCATTAGCGTGTACTCTCACAACTCGCTGACCAGCACCCGCTTGTTCTGGCAACGGGGAGAGATACTCTGTATGCTCAAACTTCGGAGGGTTATTATTTGCGTCCACTATGTTAATATTTACCAGACATTCTGTATAGAGTGGCGGCTTTCCATTGTCTGTAGCCAGGATGGTAAGTGCGAACATGTTCTCCGGAGAGCTGATGTACTGTGAGTGCTTGTACTGGATTTGTGTTTTGCTGAAGATCTCGCCCGTAGCGGGATCAACGCTAAATATGGGGGATGGCGACTGTAACGAGTATGAGATGACAGAGTTGGGACCCTGCTTGTCCCGATCGGTTGCTATGATCTGGCCCACAAAGGCCACTGCATGCTGAAGCTCCGGAAAATTGAAACTGTAGAAACTATGTTCAAACTCAGGTGCATTATCGTTCTGGTCCTGTATGGTAATTGTGATTGGAGTCTCCGCTCGCCAGGCTCCGTCTGAGGCCACAACCTTGAGAATGTATTCATCCTGTTGTTCGCGGTCAATTTGTCCTGCTACCGTAATGTTGCCGCTCTGCGAGTCAATTTTAAACTTTTTACCTGGGTTCTCGCTAAATGAATACGTGGCATTTGCATTTTCGCCCAAATCTAGGTCAGATGAGGTCACACATATTACAAAACTGCCAATTTCAGCATTTTCTGTTACGTTCAGTGAATATAAACGTGTAAATTTGGGGGGATTGTCGTTTTTATCTAGTAGATGCAGCAACACACTCGCAGTACCTGTCAGCTGGGGCACACCTTGATCCACGGCTTCCACAACAAGCGCATAATCACTCAATTCTTCACGATCTAGGCGCATGGTTGTATATATTTCGCCAGAATCGGCAATTTCAAAGGTGCCGTTGTAGTCATTTTTTAATCGGTAGCTAACCTCACCGTTTTCTCCAGAATCCCTATCTTTCGCCTTGACTGCAACAATAAGTTGTGGTGGTGTTTCCTCCTCCATGATTTCTGCGTTGTAGATAAGCTTCTCCATAACTGGAGGATTATCGTTGGCATCAGTAACGTTAATGGTCAACTGCGAAACAGTACGAAGGCTTGGTCTATCCGAGTCGGCAGCTGCAACCCAGATCTCATATTGATGAGCCAATTCATAGTCCAATCCATCTTGGCCAACGCTTAAAACGCCGGTAGTCGGATCAATAACAGCTGTATTTCCCATATTTCCACCGGCTAATTTATACCTTATATTAGCAACAGATCCTTTCTTTGGTGATGAGGCTGCCAATTTGGCAATCATTTTTCCAGGTTGCACATCCTCCGGTAAATTAAATTGAGTGATAGGCATGTAAGAGAACACAGGAAAGAGCTCCACCGGACGTAGTTGCACCGTAAGTTCAGCTGTCGAGATTTGAGGCATATATCCTTGATCCGTTGCATGGATGATTATGTTATAGATAATGTCAACGTTCGGCTTATTTTTTTGTGCCAGCTCCATTTTTGTACGTATAACTCCCGTGGATGGGTGCACTTCGAAAATGTGTTGATCCTTACCACTTATATTATAAACAACCATTGCATTTTCGCCCTCATCCAAATCCGTGGCTCGTGCACCAAAAACAAATTCCCCAGCGCGGATATTGTTTGGCACGATAATATTAAAATTGTTGGCCTCAAACTTTGGCATATTATCATTTGTATCCCCCACTTTGATCGTCAGATTCACAGAAGTTGCGCGCGGTTCAGTAATGGAACTGTCCTGAGCCATAAGTGTTAGCTGATAGACACCTATGCTTTCACGATCCAATACGGCAGCCGTAGTTATTTGGCCCGTGTCAGTGTCAATGTGGAAATGCGACATGTGCTCTCCGAGCAAATCAAACCGTAGCTTAGCATTTAGACCGGTATCCTTGTCGGTGGCAACGGGCTTGAGCACCAACGACCCAACCGGAAGATTTTCTTGGATAGAGGCATGGTAATATTGGAGCTCGAAAACAGGTCCGTTGTCGTTGATATCTTGGACTTCAACTCTCACAATCCCAGTATTTGACAGCGGCGGAGAGCCAGTGTCCATAGCAACGAGCGTTAATATGTACTCATTCTGTAGCTCACGATCGAGAGTTCCTAGTAGGACAATGTCGCCCGTTGAGGCATTGATGCGAAACAGATCCGCATTGCCTTCCTTGAGAAAGTATCTTACTTGGTTGTTCAGAGGAGGAGTATCGGCATCGAAAGCAGTTACGGTGAGCAAATAGCCGCCGTTGGGTGGTAAAGTATTCTCCATGACGCGGGCAATGTAAGGGGAGTCCAAGAATGTGGGTCGATTATCATTTATGTCAATTATGCTGATGATTAGCTCGGCAATATCACTGGCGCTTTCCTTTGGTGCACAATCCTCGGCACGTACTGTTAATATATATCGCGCTTTCCGCTCATAGTTTAAATTTTTGGCAACTCTTACTACTCCAGTGTCCTCGCTTATGCTAAAGTCACGATTTTGGTCGCCCGACACAATCGAATAGCGCACACGGCCATTGTCGCCCTCGTCCATGTCTGTGGCAGACACTTGGAGCACCATGGCGCCTATACTAGCATTCTCTGCCACGGATGCGGAATATTGCTTCGGATCAAATACTGGAATGTTGTCGTTAACATCAAGGATTTTAATCGTTAGCTGGGATTGCGTTGCAAGTGGCGGATCTCCACGATCCCGCGCTGTTATATTCAAAACATAATTTAATCGGAGCTCTCTATCCAGTAAATCGGCAACGCGTAAAATACCATCGGTTGGGTTCAAAGTAAATGGCAGAGGCTCAGCCGATCCATTGTCATCACTTAATCTGCGCTCATCTTGAAGATAATAGTCTATGTAGCCATTGCGTCCCTCGTCGTTGTCAATGGCTTTCACTGTAAACACAACCGTGTTGATGGCCACATTCTCCATCACCGACGTCTCATTTGCGGAAACAAACACGGGCGCTTCGTCGTTGACGTCTTTGATAAGTATCGTTACCTGTGAAAGAGAAAAGTTTTTAATGACGCTTTAACATTTGTGTCAATTTTTGAGCAATGATATGCTCGATGATCTATTTAAAACAGGTTAGGCCAAAAGCTCTTAAAACAAGTTTTTGTTTAATTAGGGCTTGACCAAGTATAAATAGTAGTTATCAGACTTGTCACAGGTCAAGCCCAGTTTAACGACGCACAACTATCTTAAGCATTTGCCGGTTGTATACCATCTAACATAGATATCTAAAACGTAGATCTCTTGCTGGGTAGCTTACCTGCACGGTCGACGACAGTCGTTCTTGTTTTTGATGAGATAAAAACTGATCTTGCTGATGTTTTTTATAATAACGCCGGGGCGACCGATATTTGAGTTTCATCTGCGATTCCTTCAACTCACTGAAAATGGCCATTTCATCGGCGCAGTCGCGGGCAGTGACCGTCAGAGTATAGGCACTGCGATGCTCGCGGTCAAGTTGTCGACGTGTGGATATCGTTCCGTTGCTGTTGATCCAAAAGTCGCCGTCTTCGTCCCCGGCTGTTATGCTGAATTCGATGAGGCCATTGTTTCCTATAATAAAGCTCATGGCGTCAATCTTAATCAAGTTTAATCAATTTATTTAGAATAACTAACCCGAATCGATGTCCTTGGCGGACACGGTGACTACCTCCTTTCCCACAGGAACATTTTCCAATATTTCACTTGAATAGCTCATGGGATCGAATAATGGTGTATTATCGTTTAAGTCAAGTACATTACAATATACTGTAATAGTAGTTGAAAGACTAGGTTGACCGTTGTCCTGTGCTTGCACAAGTAATATGTAATGCTGCACCTGTTTGCAAAAAGAAATTTTGGAGATGTGAAACACAAGATTCAACGGAAGAAAAGGTTGAATGTCTTACATCCTCGTAATCCAATTTAGCTGTCAAAGTTAGTGCTCCCGTTTGAGGATTTAAGCTAAATACGTCGTTGGCCCAATCAGAAACAACTGCATATGAGACTTGTGCATTTTGAGCCAAATCTACATCTTTGGCCACAATTTCACCAACTTGGTATCCACGTGGTGCATTCTCTGGTATGTCAAAGGAGTAAACGGATTCTTCAAAAACGGGCGGGTTATCGTTGGTGTCATCCACCTACAAACGAATAATTAGCAATTAATCAGTTGCCAGAGAAAAACACGTTCCGATTACTTACCTGTATGATTATATCTGTTTCTGTATACTGCACCCCATCGCTCACTCGGATGCGCATATTGTACTTGTCCTTTGTTTCACGATCCAAAGAGTCTCTCAATTGAAGTTTTCCAGTTGATGGTTCCAGGATAAACCTTCCATCATGACCATTGATTAGGGTGAAAACCATACTGCTCATAATATCGGGATCAGGATCGGTGGCTCGAATTGTAGCTATGGTGTGTCCGATCTCTAGATCTTCGCTTACAGTATAAATTAATGGCGTATCGAGAACTTTCGGGGGACTATCATTTTTATCCAACACAGTTACCTGAACCTGTACAAAAATGGAATAAAATAGTTTTGCTCGTAAGGAGGTTCTAGACATTGAATAACGTGAGCTGTGAACTTCGTTTTTCTCTAATATTCACAGACCTGCAAATTATATGACTAAATCACTGTCACAGTATGCACCCGTATGGGCGATCACACAAGGTACAAAAGACACTTTTTAATGTGTTAGTTAGCCTATCTAGCTCTTTTGCGATATTCTACCTTCTTATGCGCTAACAGTTGCTTAATTCCAACGCAACGTCAGCACCCTACACTCTAAATACATTTTTAAAATAAACGCACATCCGAAAAAATGACATGGCAATCGTTTTAAATCAAAAAAAAAAAAAGAAAAAACAACAATAAAATTGATTGAAATACTTTTAGCACGCAAGGCTTCAGTCGCCGCGGCCGTCTCATACATGCCCGAGTTTGTATGTTTAAATAAGCAGCTACATATATACGCAGCACTCTGGCCGTAATATGTCCAAGAAGCTGTGCAGAACTGGAACTACTCGTATACACATTTGCATGTGTACATTGCTGGCATACCTACGCATAAAGCATGTCTGAAGCGGGGATGCGACGGTCCCGCTGAGCAACACCAATGGTTGCCGAGTGGCAAGGGCTTAAGTGCCCAAAAGTTGGCTGAAGGGCCGTTGTTCAACGCTCTGCAGCCACAAAGATGTTTACTGTTGTGAATTCGTTTATTTTTATTTGCTGTCTGAAAACAGGTCGACGATTTTGCAGTTGTTGGCATCCAGACTGCGCCATGCGCTGCGAAATCGGCAAATGGAAAATAGGGCCGAGACTGACATTTAATTCGAAACATCGCTAAAGAAATATGGTAGGGTATTATCGAAAATCAAAGAAAACTGGAACATGTTATAATTTTGTGCCCGAGGTCTATTTATACAGATTTTTTAAGTATTTTGGTTACTCGTCGTAAGATCTTCTACTTTAAAATACGCCTGACTATTCTCACCTGGCGATTTGCATTTTTTTTTGTATATGCACAGGTCTAAAACTCTGCTTTGCTTCTAATCAAATTTTCATATCTACAGTAGACATTAAAAGCGCATTAGTGCGGTCTTAACTCATACTGATAAGCCCTTAAACCAGACCCCGTATGCAAAAACGCTCAGCTACAGGCGCAGCAGACAAAAGTAGGCTTACCTGGAACACAATAAAAGAAGCAGCCCCCTTTTTTTCACGTAAACGTGCTCAGCATCTGCTGCATCATCATGCGAAACGTCATGTTGACTTACCTTTGTACGAGCTGTCCGAGGCTTTCCGCCCAGTGCAATGGCATGGACCTCGATCTCGTAGTTGGGAGGGCCAGCTTCACGGTCCAATTCAACCGCTGTCGATAATATGCCCAATTTAGCATCGATATCGAAAAGACGGTCAACTTGGACACGCATCTCACTGCTGCTCGCATGGCCGAATATAGATGACGTGGACGCCGTGACATTTGTCACATAGTACTCGATCTCAGTGCCTTCGAGCTGCGCGCTCACCGTCAGTATACTCGTCCCGATCGGCTCATTCTCGTAGACTGATCCAAATAGGGCGTTGTGATTCTCAAATATTGGCCTATCGCCTTCACCATTACTAGTGCCAAGCGTTATTATTGTGATATAGGTTTCAGTGCTCTTCCGCTCGCCACTTGCTTCGTCCGTGGCCCTTAAGGTCAATTGGTAACGCACGTTGGGCTTAGTTTGGGGCTGACTCCCTTGACTACCAAGTGTGATAACTCCTGTGTTACGTTGCAGATGGAAAAGTTCTTGCTGGCCCCCGGCAAATTCATATGTGACCAGGCCGTTGCTCGACGAATCTGCATCGCGGGCCAACACCTGCATCACATGACCACCTATACTCCCCGGTGGAATCGAGCCGTTCAGCAATGTTGGCAAAATTGCTGCATTCATTGAAACGAAGATTGGCGCGTTGTCGTTAACATCTTCTACAATGACTGTGACCAGCTTCTCGGTGGCCAGCTGGCGATCTGAGGGTTGTGCCTGATCCGTGGCTACTACAGTCAACCGAAAGTTATCAATGGACTCTCGGTCAATCTCACGCAGCGTATATATAACGCCCGTCTGTGTGTTAATGCCAAAGTGACGTCCACCGGCCGTTTCCGGCTCCTGTCTGCTGATAACGTACGTTACCTTACCATTCAGGCCGGAATCAGGATCATCTGCAGTGACTGTGACAATTGGCGTCTTGAGTGCGATACCCTCCTTAATTTGACGCACAATTGCCGTGCTTGGAAATATGGGTGGATTGTCGTTATCATCCACCACAATGACGTTGTATAAGACCGTGGTGGAAAGCGGCGGAATACCGCAGTCTGAAGCTGTTATGTTTAACGTATAATTGGTAATATCCTCATAGTCCAACGGCTTGTGTAGGTAAAGGCTACCACTAACGCTGTCAATGTGGAATGTGTCCCTGCGGTTGCCTGCCGTTATGCTAAATACCACTTGGCTATTCATGCCTTGATCTGCATCGCTGGCCCGGAACCGCATAAGTTCTGTTCCACTGGGACTAGTTTCCAACACAGAAATTTCGCTGCTCGATTGTGTGAACTCCGGCGCATTGTCATTGTCGTCCAGCACTGTGATGGTAATGTTGACGCTGGAAGTTAGAGAATTTTTTATTGCTGCGTCCCGTGCGACTACAGTAAGGCGATGAATTTCTTGTGATTCCCGGTCCAATCTATGTGCAAGGGTTAGCAGACCTGTGGCGCTATCTAAGCCGAAAAGGTTGGCTTCATTCCCTGCAACCAGTGTATAATATACGTCTCCATTAAGACCTTCATCTGCATCCTTGGTAAAAATGTGCATAATATGTGTTCCCTCAGGGGCATCTTCGGAGATAGTTACTTGGTATGGTGTACGTAAGAACTCCGGAGCATTATCGTTGACATCAGTGATAATTACTTTGACCTTGACCTTGTCGTGCAGTGGCGGAATGCCATTGTCTGTGACAATAGCCTCCAGCAGTATATAATTGGAGCCACCGCTACTGATATTTCGTTCCTCGTCGCCGAGGCTGGCACTATTGCCTGTGCTTCGCACCAGAGCCTCCCGATCGAAAGGTCGAAGGGTCTTGATAAAGCCATTGTGCGTATCAATCTTAAAGTCCTGTGACTGCGAGAGGACACTGAAACTTAATTCTGCATTTCGTCCAATATCTCGATCCACCGCAGTTAACTTTCCGACAAATGTATTTGCTGGGGCGTTCTCTGGGATATTAAAAGTGAATGTACCATTTGTGAACTGTGGTGGATTGTCGTTCTCATCTATAACATGAATGACGACTGGTACCACCGACGACCGGGATGGTGTGCCGGCATCGCTACAAGAAATTGTAAGTGCATAATAGTCGCGTTCCTCGCGATCGAGAGGCGCGCGGACAAACAAGAAGCCATCAGGGAAGACTCCAAATTTACGGTCAGAATTTCCATCTATTATCTCATATGATATACGTCCGTTGGGCCCAAGATCACTGTCCGAGGCAGCTAGCGCGAAAAAGCGTGTGTTCACCTTGGTGGTCTCCAAGAGCGAAGTTTCATAGGATGTGTGATCAAATACAGGAGTGTGATCATTTACGTCGGCAATATGTACGGGGAGACTAAGTCGACTGCTTAGCGATGGCGTACCCCCATCTGTAGCAATTATCTCCACATAAAAAACTGTGCCAGGATCAGCACGTACTGGCTTCTGCAAGTAGACTACACCTGTGGCAGGATTAATGCGAAACTGTTGATCCGGGTTGTAGGTGAAATTATAGCGAATGCGACTGTTGACACCAGCGTCACGGTCGCGGGCACGGGACAAATAAATTTCTTGCCCCACAGCGGTATCCTCCGGCAACCAAATTGAAGCTTCTGTGTCACGATCTTGAGCGAAATTGGGTGCATTATCATTCAAATCAAGAATCGTTATGTGAACATTGCACTTGCCATAGGCAAATCCAGACATGGAGCTAGACCCATTTACGCTGCGCGCCATGACAACTAACTGATATTGTGCCTGTGCTTCTCGATCAATACGGCGTGCAGTTGTGATGCGGCCGCTGTGTTGGTCAATTGCAAAATATTCGGCTCTGTCACCATAAATGATAACATACTCGATGGCTGCATCTGCAAAGATCGGTTGCCGCTTTACTTGCACCCGGCCAACATCGCGACCCAGTTTTGCCATCTTTTGATCAGGATCCTCAACAACTTGAAAATCATATCCATTATAAGCGTCAAAGTCGAGCGTAGTTGATTTAGATTCCATTATAATTTCCACAACGGCATCCTGCGAGCTGCGTTGTTCACCAGAGTCTCGGGCAGAGATGCGCAGCTTGTAATAGGGTTTTTTCAGTTGTTTAAGAGCATCATCGCCACGTAACGTAAATATGACAGCACCCGTGCGAGAGTCAACGTGGAAAACTTTGTCGCCACCAGATTCTAGGTTGTATGTAATTAAGGCGTTATCGCCCTCGTCGCGATCAGTGGCCGTGACATTGAGCAGAGTTCGCATGCTGTTCGGTGCGACATCAGCCTCGCGGTCCTTCAGTGTGTAGATGTAATTCTTTGGATAAAACTCTGGACTATTATCGTTTATATCTGAAATGCTGAGGTAAACAGTAGCTGTGGCCGACTGTGGTGCCGGTGCGCCTTGATCGCGCGCGATCACAAAAATTTCATAATTCGCCATTGTCTCACGATCGAGAGCTTTGCGCGTCATTAATTGGCCCGTTATGGAGTCAATAGCAAATTGTTGTGGGTACAGGCGTTCCACACTGGGCGCTAAGGAAAATGTAACCGATCCGTTCGTTCCCTGGTCGTTGTCTGTGGCAGACAGCAATGCGACTATTGTCGGGGGACTTACGCCCTCGCTGAGGCTTACGTTGAGTTCTTTTTGTCCGAAGTGTGGTGCCTCGTCGTTTTCGTCCAAGATGGTGACCTTTAGTTGAGTGTAAGCGAACTTGGGATTGGGCCCGCCATCACGTGCTGATATGCTTAGTTCTACGCTGGCTTGAACCTCCCTGTCTAGTGGACCTGTTGTCACTATAAGGCCCGTCGTCGTATCGATGTTAAACCACTTGAGCTCGTTTCCCGTAAGGATTTCATAGAACACCTGCGCATTGACGCCCGTATCCTCATCTGTGGCAGCGATCGAGGCCACGAAGGTGCCCGTTGGCGCTAGTTCACTAAGCACAGCCGTGTATTCGGACTTCTCGAACACGGGCTCATGATCGTTGACGTCATTTACATTAATAATAAGATATGCTATCGCCTTTCGCTCTGGCGTTCCTTTGTCTATAGCCACAACAGTCAAATTGTATTTGCTAATCTCCTCACGATCGAGTACTCCATTGACACGGACAATGTGAAATAGTGGAGTCTTTTCCAATCGAAAATGATGCAGTTCGTTGCCAGAAACTATGCGAGTTGTTGTCTCTCCGTTGAGACCATCGTCCGAGTCAATCACTGACACGGCAGCAACCACTGTTCCGTTGCTGGCGTTCTCATCCACGGTGGCAACGCGGCCAGTTGGTGGAAAGTACTGAAAGCGTATAATAGGATCATGATCGTTGGTATCCAACAGATTCACAGTAACATAGGTACGCCCATCCTGACGGGGAGAGCCATGATCGCGGGCAAAAACCGTGAAGACGCAGCTCTTTTGGATGTGACCCTTGCCTGTGGGCTCTCGGGGCTGCTGACTCGTTTGCTGTGGGCAATTTAGGCGCACAGTGGTAGAAATGACGCCCGTCTCGGGATCGACCGTGAACTGATGTTCCGTCTCGGCCAAGTAGTAGGTGAGCTTGCTATTGTCGCCCAAATCGTTATCCGATGCCATGACCTGAAGAACTGGCGAACCGGGCATAACAGTTTCGTTTAACGTTACGCTGTAGTCGCTGTGGTCGAAAATCGGTGGGTTGTCGTTAACGTCCAGTATTGTGACGTTTACTTGGAGAAACCCCAGTCGAGGTGGAGAGCCACCATCGCTGGCCGAAATATTTAGTTGGTAGCTTCCGCGTGATTCGCGATCCAAGTTGCCGGTCGTCTCCAAGTGCAAGTAGGACGTATCGCCGCTGGGATTCGTTGTGGTGACTAATCGAAATTTATTATCCAAATTGCCCGCCACAATCTCATAATGATCGGTAACTCCATTGTCGCCGATATCAGCATCTGTCGCTGCATCAAGCAACAGGCGAGTTCCGGCCACTGCGCTTTCCGAAAAAGAGACGGCAATACTTGGCTCAGGAAACTCGGGTGCATTATCATTGATATCGAGCACTTTTATGCGCACTTCTATTGGATACGTGGGCTGCGATGAGAGTACCACAAGGTCATAATGGCTTCGCATACCCTCACGATCTAGCACAACATTTGTCTTAACTTCGCCCGTTATCTGGTCCAGTGTAAACTCTCGCGGAGGCTCATTAAATCGGTAGGTGAATTTGGGCTTTGTCGGTATAAAACCAACGAGCGTGCCGCGGGGCTGCCCCTCAAGCACTTCGAAATCGGCGCTAGTATCGACAGCGCGAGACTGCATCTCTCCCGCTGGCGAGGAGCTGCGGCGTCTTGGAAAGGCGGCATATTGTTCATATGTTGTGGCATAGCTACGTCCACGAGGTGCAGACAACTGTAGTGTGGATGAAGCCTCCGAGGCTTGGAATAACACAAACGTAGTTAGCACGATCAGGTGTAAAATATTCCCCCTTCGTTGCCCGTGGACAGAGAGAAGCGAGTGCATCTTCTCTATGAACCTGAAAAGGCTGGATGGAATTCGCAGATTGTCATCCATTAACATTTATGTTCACTTTTTATTGTTTTCATTAGCAACGCGCTTTTGATATTTTACTGGTGTGCTATTTGTGGAAAGCTCAAAACACGTCATTTTCCAGATAGTTTTGGATATTTATAATCACCTGGAAAGTAAAAAAAGTCAAAATTACAATCGGAAAATTATTGAATTGCATTAATACTAGTCTTAAATAGAAGTATAAACAGCAGGGAATTTCTTTTTGAATTATCACATTTACCAGATTTACGAATATAAATTAATTATAACCAAAGCGAACTTAAGTAGTTAATCATGCTTTCATGCTAACACTTTCAGTTAACAATTTCGTGCCTCTACGATCACTGAGCATCTTAACACTTTCATACTTCGCCAAGCATAAAAATACTACTTTGCTTCTATGATTTTCTGAAAGAGAGGAGAAGGTGCATAGTATGGCATATATGTATGAAAGGAAGCATGTTTAAATAGTCAGATCGGTATTTACATATTTCTTTGCTAACATGCATAAGCTTATATTATTATTATCAATGAAACTCTACCAAGCCAACAAAAATGTTGTTTCTCACCTAACTAGCAACACATTTGCTAGCATTCTTTTTGTTTTTGTACGGGATACTTATATACTTATATATATATATATATACTTATATATATATATATTTATATATATAAATATATATTAGAAATTTATGTTTCAACCTTTGTTCAATGGAATCTATAGTAAATTTGTTACCCCTGATTTGTTGTTGTTGTCCAAATCTTTGAAGTCCAACCCGTTCATTAATCTTTAAGCCCCCATCTATGGGAATGGTTGGCTTTGTTCTGTCCCTAACATCATTTTTGTTTTGTTAAATATCAAAATATTTTAGTGATTTGAATAATATACATGCATACTTATATACATAGGTGAGTAATAGACTTACATATATACTTAACTTGTTCTAGATACTGAAATATTAGGATGTAACTCTTGCTTCCAATTGATATCTACCAATATGTTTATAGATAGTTATGCGGGCTATTTTGAAGAGCTCATAAATACCATATCTGTACAAGATTGAACTTAACATTTGCAATGCAAATTATAACAAAAGAGCAAAGAATAGACAGAACAGTCTACCAAGCCTCGGGCCATATGGCCAAACTAAAAATTCGTAAGGAATAATAATCTTAACCCCGATACCCAACTGGAATCAATGCGCGTCGCTATGAGGCGCCTACAAGTTGGGATACTCATACACAGGCGCACAAGCGCTTGGTCTTTACTTTTATTACTTTTTTCTTTCTTCGTGCTTTTCACTTTATTACCTCGGTTGGCTAGCTAGCAAGCTCTGATGAAGGAAAACGTGTTTTTCATATTTCCATATTCATTTACATTTCGCTTTTGAGCAGTGCACATGCCGATACCTGCCATAAATGATTTCTTCTTGGACACAATGAACAAAGATTATTTATTTATAAGAAAAGGTATTATTTTTTTTGTTTTTTGATTTTTTTAAACATTTTTCAAAACTCTGGCAATACAATTTAGGCTATTATGTGACAGTTACAAGCTCCACTCAATTCAGTGTCCCAGCCTCCGACAACAAAAGACGTCAACCTTTACAACAAAAACTGCCCACGTTGACGTTGATTTATAAAAATTGAACAATTAATCTTGTTTGAGTTAGCTGCGTCGAGTTCGTTTTACTTCATATTCCCTGAGCTTTTATTTCTTTCTTATTTTTTCTATTCACATCGCGAAGATGTGAATAACTGCCTTTTGGGTCTCGATATATATTAAGATATATACTTAAGCAATTGCATATCATAAAAATATCCATTTTGTGCACTTAAGTTTTTAGTTTGTTTTGCTGTCTAATTCATTAGCTCTTATTTCTTCTATTCACATCGGAAATACATGACTTATGATTTCGTTTGAGCCTTTTTCATATTAAAATATCTTAGAAATATCTTATGTATTTGCTTAAACTTTTCATAGATTGTAAATACCTACCACTTTTGTTCACATTTTAAAGTGAGTTTTGTGATAGCCTTGTTGATGTTAGTTGATCTGGTATACATATAGTATAAATACGACACGCGCACACACGAAAACACAAATGCAACATCGTCGTCAGTGGCCACAGACGCAGCATATTTTTTTCAGCAAAACGTGTTTTGCTTCATTTCAGCTCTTGTATTTGCTGCAGTGCGGGCTGCAACGTTGTTGGAATTTTTTCACTTATAAAAAATACAACGACAACAGGCACACACTCATACCACACACACACACATGCACAGCTCAGAGAGCGAGATGTGGTATCCACACTTAATTTACCAACTGCGTTGGATCCGATTTATATTATTTCTATGTGCTTATATTTCGATGTGACATATATATACATATATAATTATAAAGCATGGGTTAGATGTTTCACGGTAATTGTATTTGTGTGATCGAACGAAACCTGAGCATCCGTCGCACCTTCACTTTTGTCTAGCGTTTTACGCGCACACGTTCCCAACTGCCACTCGCTCTGTGGTCGCAACGTAACTAACTGGCGACTGGCGAGAGCTGCGAGAAGAACTCAGGCGCAGGCACCACAAAATTATGAACATAGCGGCCAGGCCAGGCTTCGAAAAGCGGCTTGACAGGTTTAAGCCGAGAGATTCAGACGGACGGAAAGGACGGAAACAAAGCGAGAGAACGCGCGGCTCTCCCGCTCGTCATAAACGTACCAAATGTGGTAGCTTGTCTTATTGTTGTTGCACCGCCTGCACGCCCCTCCTCCTGGCTGACTCTTTTACCTGTTGCCTCTCATGCACAGGCACAGCATAGACACAGGCAGTGCTAGCAGCAGCAGAGCCGCCGCCGTCGCATTGCCGTCGCCCGCAACATATTTTTCACTTGTTGCAGTTTCGTTTTTCATTTTCTTGTACTAAAAACGTTTCCAGCTCCAACTCCAGCTCCAGCTCACGTCGGTATGCTCGGCTTTTCTCCGTCCTCCTGCAAATGCTCGTCGTATATGGGTGAGCGTGCGCCTTTTCTCTATGAAACAAAAATTGACTTGCTTGCACTGGCAAGTCAGCAAATACGTGAGCTCCGGCCCGCATTTGTGTGCAAGCGAACCCAACAAGATTCAATAGCCACCGGCGACCCATACACAATAAGATTAAAAATTACTTGGGTGCTGCTCCCATGCCCACTCCACTTGCCGCTGAATGTTGCTGCCACGGTGTTCACTCGGTTTAGTTCGCCATGGCTGGCGTGACTCAGGGTCTCCCGACTCTCGCGCCTTTGGAAACAAGAAATTGTTTTGCCTTAGAGGTAGCTCTAGTTCTGTGGCTGCTCTCTTCGGAGAGGCTCTCTTTCAATATTTCGTCTCTCGTGGGTAATTTTTGTTTGGCTTACCACTTCTTCTGCTTGCTTGGATCTGTGCAGTCTTCGGCGTTCGGCTGCGCCGCAGAATTTTTGTTTGGCATAGAAACTGGTTTCAAATTAAAATTATCGCTGGTCATTTTTCTTATGGTTAGTTGTCGTTTACTTTACCGCTGTTGCCTCTTTTTTTTGTTGTTTTTGGAATTTCGACCTGCGTATGCTTCCCTTTTGTATTGGCGTGAACTAATGTATGCGTATTTCTCCATGTATGTGATGAACACTGGACACCACATACTAACTTTATATGCTAGTGTGAAGCTTTTGCCATAGAGATTGTTGGTTCACAGGTAGTCGAAGCCTCTCTTATATAAATAGCACAGACATAATCAGCATATTTTGGGGGTGGCAGTACCTGGAAACACAAAACAATTGGTTGTTTTGAAGAAGTTCAAGTTTGTTTCCTAAGTCTTTTGTTTTTTTACAAAATGACGTGCGAAACGGGCTCATGTTGTTTGAATATAAGCAAATGCTTAAATCAGCCTGGATAGGCAGCCAGAATCGAATAACCAATGACTGACGCGTAAAACTGTCACTTAGTAAAAAGCGCATAAGAGCTTAGCTCGATTTATTGTATGTTTATGAACTATTCTGGGCAAATGCAGCCAGGCGGTCAGCTTGCAGGCCGGTCTGGTCACATTCTTATCTTTGAGAAATATTACAATAACACGCAAAGTCCAGGCCAGCCAGCGTAATAACGTGATGCTGTAGCTGCGATTGGTGCCCAAAAAGCGTGGCCAGTAAAAAATATACAAAAAAAAAAAAAAAACAATAAAAATAGCTTTAGCCTGCTGGCCTCGGCCAGCCTGTACGAGCAGTAGTTGGTGTTGTTGGTGTTATTTCAGAGCGGAATTCGAGCTTTCTGTTAATACTTTAATCGCAACTGCTGAGTATGTGGGCGCTGTGGTTGCAAAGCCGCTATTTAGTCGAGACTTGGTGCGAATTTACAATTTCTAGTGTGAATGCAAGTGTACATGTGTGCTTGTTTTGCTCTTAAGGCTCTAACTTTGTTAGTTTATTTAGACTTGTTATATAAATACTAAAAATAATATGCTTAGAGAAGCGAATCGAATTAAAATAAAATACTAATGTATATAAATGCTTTAAGGCTAAATAGAGCGCTGGAATAAATGCGCCAGTAGTTCTGCTTCGCTTAGATCCATCTTATACTTTTGGACTATGTCCTGCACTTTCAGACGGCGTCGCACATGAGGTGGTTGGTAGCTGCAAGCAATATAAAAATTAGACAAACTCTTAAAGATTTTATAGAAAACTTACTTATCATTATCCAGACGCCTACGTCGCGATATATTAAGCGCCGTTTGACGTACCAAATTACCCACAACGCGCCGACTAAGTACCATGCCATCGACTAATGGCGTTGCAAAGCTCATCCGACCAGGTGGTCCTTGTAGTTTCACTCTTAGTAAACCCGACTGAAGAGAATGCAGGAAGATCACATGACAGTCGGCTGCTCTCGGCAACTGCATCGACTGGAGCTCTTCACCAGTGCGTGCGTAGGCCAGAAGATCTTCGACTGGAAAGTTTAAATAATCCTCGAAGCTCTCTAGCCAGACAAGGAAAATCTTTGCTGGCGCTTGGACGAGAAGGGCAGGCTTAGACACAGTGCCCTTTCGTCGCGTGGGTGGTACTGGCTCCTTGTTTCTGTTATTTGCATCTAATTCTAAGCTAAGATTTCTTGGCTTGGATTTCAGAGAACCAGCATCGTCCCCACGTATCCAGACATTGCTCACTGTGCTTTGATCACTGCAATTACTAGACAAGCTGCAGGCGTCCATTTCGCTATTGTAGCGCAGATTCCAAGCATTAGGCACTACAAAAGCAATCTCGGATGAGACATCCGCCCAGTAGAGCACATGCTGTGCACCATTGTAATTAGATTCGCTGGACACGTTTGATTGGTGACGGTCGGCCAGTGCCGATGTACCCTTTAACGACCACGAATTATGTGCGAAACCCGTCCAACCCGAGTGCTCAGCCACATGAACCGGCCACCCCAACGTCTGCAGCATATTGGCAAAGTGTGAGTCATACGATTGATCCTCAGCCATGTTACCAATGATCTGTTGTGCAGTAGTTTGACCCGCCTTCATATACAAAACAGATGACGATAATGCAAAGATAAAACGTCAAAATAAATTATATAAATAATAAGTTCCCAACAAACAGTTTGGATGCGGCTCAATTCGATCGTCAAAGACGCCTGCATGATTCTCACCTTTACGTAGAAACAGTAAACAGTATCATGCGTGCGGGCGCTGAGCTTATCCAGCTTATCCAAATCCGAAGCAAAAGTAGTTGATTTTGTGTCAAGCACGATAAGAGGTCTTTGCGGTGGACCTAGTGACTCAACGGGGTTGTGCGGATCGCGGATCTCGAAGCTAAGAAATCCGAAATGAGAGAGAAAAAGGCGAGCTGCATGAAACTCATGGCAGACCGTGGGCGGTACACATTCCTGAGCATGCGACAGACTATCGATGCTATTGTCCGATTCGGCCCAAGCCAACTTTTCGTGAATACTTTGATTTTCAAGCATTGCTTCCAGCTCACTTATGACGTTGGCGCCATACTGCTCACGTATCTGATCTATCGTTGGTATTGAGTAATCGGCCACACAGGGCTGCACTTTGTCAACGCCTTCGGGAAAGTTTTTTTGCTCGCATTCGGGACGCTGCGTGATGTCGTTCATAGGAATGGGCCGGCCGGGATTGACGGCATGGTACTTTACGCCCGACTTGCTGCGCGGCAGATGGCGCAGCTGCATTGTCCAAGCATGTCGGCCAAAGGGACCACGTATAAGAACTACGAGTGGATGGGCTGAGGTTAATTACGAAAATAGGTGGACAAACTTTACTTACGAGTGACAGTTGGTTGCGGATCTTGATCATTACCCAAAGGCTCTTCCAGCAAAGCCAATATCGTTGAGTTTTCCGTGACAAAATATTTAAACTTCGAGATGGCTTGTTCCGCATTGCAAACGCCGGCTGAGCCGTCTCCAGTCGGGAGCGAATTGCAGTGCTTCATAAGAGCCAGCTCATCCAAGAGCGAAGATATAGATTCGGGTCCACACTCGCTTGGAAAGTAACCAACCTGTTCGAGTATGATGGTTAGAAGATTCTCTGCTGCATCGCGCACACGCATCGAGGCTGGTTTAAGTTCTTTTTCATCTTTAAACTTAGGTAGATCTCCATTTTTACTCTGGCTTTTTGTGCCTGATATGCCCAACTCAACCACCTCAAGCACCGTCTGCAAGCAGTCTTTATCCTGCAGGAGATACGGATGCTGCATAAGCCAGGCTGCCGTGCACTGGAACGCCGCCACTATTGTGCTGTGCAGATCCTTACTGTGCGCCGGCGGAGGTCGTGAGCACTGATAGCAAATATAGTCGCATATCCACTTCACTGCGCGCTTGCACTCTAGAGCGTCTGTGGAGATTATCGTTATATTTTGACTAGGTTCGAATATTTTCACTAATGAATCTAAGATGTGTAAGTTCAGGTGGTTTTGATTTGGTTATTTACATAGTATCCGAAAGAAATTAAAACACGAATATACAAAAGATATAAATATAATCATTAATTCAAACAATTTCCGCCGCATGTGAGTGAGTGAAATTGTGTTGAGGGTTGAAATTGTTAGATTTTAAGGGATTTAGGTAAAGAAAGATAAAAAAGAAAAGAAAAAGAGAGATTTACATGTTGTTAGTAGCATTAAATTACCATTTGTTAATTTCCTGGCTGCAATTTTGTGGTTGTTAATAATTCAAAATGGGTGTTTATGTGTGGTCGGATTTTTAAACGAGAAACAAATAGGAAATAGAATATTCACAGACAGATAAAGACATTAAAATATCGAAACAAATATCCCGAACCCTCAATACAATACCTGTTTCGCGTATGTGAAGCCGCGCCAGACCTGACAGTAACTCTAGAGCTGCTAGTGAAACGTTCAGGTCGGTCTTCCACGAAGAGATTAACCGGTGGCACACCAAATATGTGGCGCGTACAAACAAGGCATGGGCGTTGTCTGCAAAATTTAAAGGAACTCTCAATTATACAACATTTTAAAGTGTATTCACTACAAAAAAGCAATCTACAAAATACAAAAATTAAAAACATAAGACGCAAACTTTACCATATGCTGCAACGCTCTCAAACTCGTGCGTAAACTCCACCGATATATCATCGGATATGGTCAGGCTGGGATAATCGTGGGCCGAACCTGTATCACGCGAGCTCATTGCTGTGGTTTGTGCGCCAAAGCTGACCGTGCCGCTGGCTAGCGAAGCGGAACGGTCCGAGCACGCTGAGAACACAGCCCCAAAGATATCAGCAACAAAAACAAAATGCGAAATAAATTAAAATAATTAAGTGAAAAACTAAACAACCGTAGGTCAAAGACGCTTTTCATAGTCTGGTTACCGGAACTTAGCAGGTTTTCTTCATGGTGATGAACACCGGGGCCACTCAAATGATCTGTGCCGCCAAGCTCAGTGTCCTCAAAGGTCACTGCGTCCTGTACACAGAGCAAAAGTCCGCCCAATAACATATGCGTGTTTTGGGCGTCAGTTTCTACCTGCAGCGCGTTCATCAGAATGTTCATTAGTCGAGATTTGAGTTGTAAGAAGGTCAAACCCCTTGAGAAGATTAAGTAAAGATTAGTTCTACACACTCTGGCCTATGATTGGCTCGTTAGCTAAACTTACTTCTCGCCAGTGTCAGATGTCAAGTTTCGTATGGGCAGAGTATGATAATGCAGCGGAAGCACCATAATGGAGAGTAAAATGTTTATGGCCGATCGACGCAGCTCGGTCCGGTTGAATGTAATTGCTTGTGTCTTCAGCTTCAAGTCCTTATCCGGCAGTACGATTTCTAGCGCGGCTATGAAGCCAGGTAGTAGCACATTGATACCATCCAGGTCTAAGCGGAACAAATCTGCCGAATGTAGCAGAATGCTGGCCAATGTTTCATCGCACTCTTTGGACTCGGTTATCTTGAGGCATTGTTGCAGTGCCATATAAAAGCGCGCTAAATACACCGGCAGAATTTCTTCACCCGTTTTTTTTGCGCAGAAAATCTTGCAGAGGGTGCCAATTGCCTCGGCGCGTCCAGATTCATATTTATCAATGGTTAGCGTGGGCGGCAGCGATGCAGGATCATTAAGCGAATTGGGTTGGGACAACGATATCGAGCCCTTGCGATTCTCCATTATCATAGACGAAGGTCGCTTGCTAGCCTCGCATGCTTGTTCTGAAAACTCAGTTATTATTTTCACCATAGCAACAGTAAGCGATCTTTCTGAGCACTCACTTTTACGATTCTGCAGCCAAGTGTCGCCGCCTATGTGCGCTGCCTCGAACAGCCACTCACCGAATAAGTGCAGAATGCTGTTGCACTTCGGTCGAGCCACAGACAGCGGCGGGCGTAGCTCGGTACCGATGGATGGCAACGCTGTGGGTAAAAAGAAGAGCGTGGGGAAACAATTGTTGAGAGAAGCGGCAAGTGTGTTTTCTTTTTCACAACACTCACAGTTGATACTGCTGGATGAGGGTGGACCTGAGGTCGGCGTCGTGGGGGCGGCGTTCGTTGAGCTGCGTGTTAGGCTGATAAGCGCGGTTTTGCTTAAGCCTGTAAAGCGTGTGGGAAAGGAAAGCGTGTGAGAAATTAGTAGATGAGCTGGTCGGGGAATGTTTAGCATACACATACATTCAAACGTGCAGCGTTGTGATTTAATTGTGGGCGTACAATATATAAACTACGTACTATTATATGGGAACGAATAATTAGAGTGTTACAAACGTATATACTTACTAAATATGCATTATGTGTGAGCGTAAAAAAATAATAGAAAAAAAATAAATAATCAGGCAGTATTATGGGCGTAGAAACCAAATGAAAACTGACTAATAATAAAATGCAACATGTGCGGGCTTTGAAAAGCAAACGTCGTAGAGCGTCAATCGATCAATCGTCTTGCAAAAACACAAAGCTCAGTTAAAGTATAACATGCTTTAAATTAACAAAAGCAAAACGACACAACATGGGGTCTATTAACAAAATCGCACCCTTCTGCTGCGTAATGGACGGCGCCACACTGAAACTCTTCGCCAGTCGTCGCTGCAAAGGTGGCGTTGGTGTCACACTGTTGCAGCCATTCGAAACTGTCAATGGCATTGCCTCAGACGTGCTGAACGAGATGCAGCCGACCACGCCAGCAGAATGGCTGCCGCCAGCACTTATACTGCCCACTGGGCCTGGGGTAGCGATCTGGCAATAGTTGATTGGAGAAGCGCTACAGTTGCTGCTTTGGCCATGCTGCCCCTGAGGCTGTGCCGCCTGCTGTTGCTGATGTTGGTGGTTGTGGTGATGATGCCCCATGATGGCGTTTAAGGCAGAGCTTGCCGAACTGCTGACAAAATTATCGCGAAGGAAACTACCAGCACCATGTAAATGCAAATGCGGATAGTGGTGATGATGATGCTGCTGATGGGACTGAGTTGCCCCTGATTGCTGTATGCTAATGTTTGAAACGCTGCTTGAGTGTATGAACTGTTGTAGCGTGGATGAGGTAGCCTCGTTTAAAGAGTGGCGTATCTCAAGCAGATTTGTGACGACGTTGTCCTGCTGGTTAGGCGGTGGCTGATAAATGCCTGTGTTGCGGGAGCGACCAAAAATTGGTTTTAAAGATGATTATAGAAGCGAGAATTTAAGGGGAACAGTACTATGCTAACTATCACACGTAAACTATAGAGGACAGATCCACGTCATGTCCGAGAATCTCTTACCTAAGAAGGCATCTACTTGGCTGGAAATACCCCTGATTGCATTCAAAAAGATTTGTGGTAACATTTGAAGGCAAGGATGCTGATGTGTCTCAGCGCCTTTCTCGTGCGTTAGAGCCCATTGTACGAAGTGCGACGATTTACTGATAATGTGCGGCGAGCAGAGCGCCGTGGGATTGCCAATCATACGCAAAAACCGATACCAAGTCTGTGCTACACAATCGTTGGTCATGCCCGCGGGTATAAGCTGGCCATCCTCTTCGCCAGCTAAAAAGAAAACCATAAATGTATTTAATTCATAACTATCTATAAAATCTGCTGCTACTAACCATTTTTGAGCTGCGTAAAATCAGGGCCGTAGCTAAACTCCAACAGGCGCGCGGTCAGGGCCAAGTTCACACGGTTCCACTGATCAACAAGTGCAATTCGATGGCGCCACATGGCACACGACTCTTGCAAGGTTTTCCACAAGGAGGGCGATGGAAAACAGCGGACACATGCCAAAAGCCAAACCTCGAAAAGCACAGAGAGCACGCGTTCACACAGTTGATCGCCAACGTCATCCTTGACGGTCGGCGGCGCCAGCAAAATCTCATTGATGGCCAACAAAAAGAGTAGTAGCGTGTCCCAGGTCTCTCGATCCATGTGCTGCGAAATTTGAGCTGTTTGCTGAAGGGTGCGTAATACGCGATGACATAACACCGCCTGACGCTTAATGGTATCAGAGCCTATAATAAATAAACATACACATTAGAGCGATGAGTATGGATGTGCAAATTTATCCAAGGAGCACCTACCAAGCTTCGTTTGGTATAAAAATGGCAAGACTTGAAATTTAGAATGCAATAATTACAAATCGCAGATAAATATATCTATACGCGTTTATGAATGTTATTCGAGAAGCGGCTAAACATGAAATAGCATTGAGCAGCTTTCAGACTTACTTTCTCCCTGCCGCGGAACGAAGAGGTTGTGGAAATGATTAATTATCTGCCTCGCATAGAGATTCGCATCTTCACAAATGGGCTTGGGGACGCTGATTCGTGGCTGTGGGTGCAGCGCCGTCAACCATTCGCAGTAAACATTGACACAGTCTTTGATGGTCTCATGCTCCTGCAGCGGCAACGAAAGACCAAAACAAATGACGTCCATGCACCATCTGACCTGTTGTGGGAGCGAGGATAGTAGCTTGCAAATGTGGTCGAATTCAATGTTTAGTCAGACATACCTCCTCATCCTTCACCAAGTGGCTGGGCTCCGCGTTCTGTGTTATGCCTAAATTGGTACCCAGTTGTTTTACAACCGAAATAACCACTTCTCGACCCGCAGACGCTGGAAACTTGTTTAGCACACTGAAACATTGCGCTCCACAACTGTTGGCAGTAATCTGCGTCGACAGCGATGCCCACTCAGAGTACATATTTTGTTGATTGCTACACGCAGAATTTTCACTTTTTTATACGCGTAGTAAAATCAAGGTATCAAAGCGTAGGCATGCACCTTAGCATAATTCATTACACTTATATCAATCTCTTTATATAGACTGCTTAATTTAGTGTAAATCCGAATATATTAGCAGTTGGCAGCAATTGTTGGATTTCGTTAAATATTCTGTTTGGTTTTTTTCTTCTTAGTAAACAAATGAGTGTTCATCAGCGACAAGTGGATAGTGTTGTAAAACACGCCGTGATATTAGAGATATTTTCGAGCACTTGAGTAGGAATTTAAAAATGCCGCCTCATGAGTTTTAAATAAGATTAATAATAGATTGTGGATTTATTTTGTATAATGTACATATGGCGTCTAATATTTTTTTAAGGCTAACCAAACAAAAATACAACATTTTAAGACTGAAATATTTTAATATGTTTTCTACTTCAATAAGAGCTAGCTCTCACGTTGCATCCCAAGATAAGCAAATCCAGATAAGCAGCTGTGTCAAATACTATTAAAACGATATGTACGTACTTCTCACACTGAATTTATTTCAGTAGCCAATGCTATGGACCACCGTTGGCCCAAAAACAAACAAAATACACATACATACATATATAAATTACTGCTAGAATATGTTCGTAACTACGACGGGCAATTCACTGTTGACTATGTATACTGAAACTGATTTTTGCTGCATATATGTGTGTATGTACGCTAGTTCTTGCATACATATACAAGTATTATTATGTATTATTATAACTGCCGTTAAAATTGTTCTAACGCACATGCCTGGATGCACGGCCATCTAATCCTGTTTCTTTTGTGCGGCTGTCTTTTTGGTCGGCGTCGAATCTGCCGTCGCTTTAGTGGCTGTGGCTGTGGCTGGGGCACTGCCTGCACTGGGCGATGCTTCTATAGCGCCAGCCGGCTGAGTGGCGCTGGCGTCACCTTCCAGTCGCTTGGTGGCAGCCTGCTCCTCCATTTCGCCAGAGAAGCCATACTCATTGACGCGCTTCAGGTCGACGCGGTACTGCCAGCGCTGATAAAGGAATACAAAGAAGATAATGTCATCTCGGAAGCAGCCGATGCGGTACATGGTTGGCATTTTTATGACAAATGCGAATATGTCGTCGATAAATGTGTTGAGGAATTTATAGGTCATCATTCGCCATGGCAAATGGGCAACTGATTTTAGCTTGTAGTTAATGAACAGCTGCGGTGTCATCAGAATAAATCCGAAAGTCAACAGGTAGCTGTAAAGCATGTTTAACACAAAGGAGTACCAGCCCTTGTGCTCATTGTAGATCAGGGAATAGATAAAGTAGCCCACAAGCAATGGGAAACATGCCCAGCCCAGGTACTTAAATGCCAATCTGTCGTACTCCTTGGTGGAGCTCTCCGAGTATGAGCCCTTATCCTTGAAACTGATGCGCGGAAAGATGCCTAGCAGTTTTTGCTGGTTGTTGTAGTTAACATCGACCACCTTATGTATTTTCCATACCTCAATGCCGAGACCCACAAAGCACGAGATGCGTATCATGAAGTTCGTCTCGTTGTCCAGCACATACAGCAAGATGATAAGCGATTGGAACACGCCGAAGAACACTGATCGCACTGAGAGTCCCTCGAGTGACTGTCGATTGTTCCAAAACTGTATGTCATTCTTGAAAGCCAGCAGCTCGAACACAGAATGGAGTATGGAAACGGCCACTGTGATTCCGAGCAGGTAAATGTTTGTGTCCAGAAGAGTTTCCTTCAGCGAGTCTTGGTCCTCGTCCGACTCTTCAGCCGCACCGGCTGCCATTATTTCGCCCAGCACATTGCCAGCCCATTTACTTTTCATTTGCTTGGCGGCATAGAGCTGCCACTTGAACATGCCCAAGGGCTGAAAGGTCAAATGTAGATCCAGCTCTGGAGTTGACTCGTTGATGGGAAAGTATTCGCGTTGCAGGTTCCAATAGTCGTTGACGAACACAATCGGCAGATACGTTTTACCGCCATCCACAAACTTTACATATTCATCGAGCGGTGAAGGCACGCTACCTTGCGCCCAATTTGTCTGATCCACCACAAGATTAACGGTCAAGTTTGGATGCCAGTGCGACACGATCTGATCCTTGAGATTGGCGTGCTTCAGCTCGTGCTCCAGCTTCTCCTTCTCGCTGGCCAATAGGTTGTAGTTGCGATTCACACGCAGCTTCTTAAACTTATTAAGCTGATGCTGCTGATGGCCCATATGGCCATGTCTTGAGTATTCAGGCGACTGAGGATCTGGGCTTTCGCCAGCGCGCGTTACAAATGCGTGCAGAAACACACTGCCGTTGTTTAGCAGATGGGGGCTGGCTTTTATCTTCAGGTTGTGTGTGTAAATTCCATCACCTGTAGGCCCCGAGACCCAATCACCGTAGGTTAGATCCTCTTGCAGCCACAGAAGATTGGCCTTTTGTTGGAAGTTCACCACGTCCGGCTGCTCCGAGAGCCATACATGCAAATCAAAATCTGTGCCATTCTCGAAATAGTTCCATGCGGTTATTTTGGGACCCGCATTGGCGACTGACTGCTCTTGATTAGTGTTCGACTGTGGCCGCCGGAAGAAGGAACTTACAAAGTAAATTATAAGCGCCCGCAGAATAAGTGATTTCGTCATTGCGAAAAAAGACTCCGCTCGTGATGGCTGCTGCTGCTGTTGACCCTCGGCACCAGCCACCTACATTTTGGAATTGTTGATGTACAGAGTGAAGAATTCAATTATATTAATCAACATACCGGCGCAGCTCCTGCCGCCGGCAAAAGGCCATCGTTGTTCGACATGTCGTGTACGTGTACTTAACGGAATAAATACACGTTTTTTTTACACAACTTTTCCGTGGTTGCCTAGATTTTGTTGAATTGAAAATGTTATTTAACATAACAGCCACAATAAACGAATAAAAGCCGAGCTGTAAATAACAGAGAGAAAATAATTATTGCCTGGAATATGTTATTTAACATAACAATGACTATACTATTACCAGAAAAGTATCGAATGAGTTCATTTTACGATTCAAAACTGATTAACAGCAGCGTTTAATAATTAGCAAAACACTGGATACATAATAAGTAGTAATAAAGAACATTCAGAATGTTGTCTGAGTTTGGAGAGAGGCTTAAAGTACAACACATATGCAATAAAAGTTTTATTGTTGGATTGTTAAGTGACAAATTACATTTTGTCAAAAAATATATATCGATAGCTCTGCAACAGGCATCTGAAAGCTGACTGATGCGAAAGCGCGACAGTGTTGCTCCATTTGCACAATTTTAATAACATATGTGAATGTTGTGTACACACTCTTTTCTTTTGTGAGTTAGCATTTGGTTGCACGTTTCTCTTGGTAAGTTGCTGAAAAAACTAAAAAGAAATGATAAAAAGTGCGGCGTTACCTTTGGCTGTGGTCCTGTAGTCTTATAACAGTTAGATTGCATCGTTATTCTCTGTGTTCATCGTCGGATGGACACAAAAAATACGCACACCAGTCGCCACTTGTTACCATGTCGTACATAACCTCTTGCCAGCCATGAGACAACGTCGCACAGTAAACTGGAGAAATACAAATTTGAGGCATACGAGTGAATTCTCAATGGTTTCTAATGATTTTGATTGAAATACATCTTGCGCTTGCAGCAACGCTTGGAAAATGCAAATCTTTGTGAAAACCCTCACCGGCAAGACCATCACCTTGGAGGTCGAGCCCTCTGACACCATCGAGAATGTCAAGGCTAAAATCCAAGACAAAGAAGGTATTCCACCAGATCAGCAGCGTTTGATCTTTGCCGGCAAGCAGCTGGAGGATGGCCGCACCCTTTCGGACTACAACATCCAGAAGGAGTCGACTTTGCACTTGGTGCTGCGTCTGCGTGGTGGTATCATTGAGCCTTCGCTTCGCATTCTCGCCCAGAAGTACAACTGCGACAAAATGATTTGCCGCAAGTGCTATGCTCGTCTGCACCCACGTGCCACCAACTGCCGCAAGAAGAAGTGCGGACACACCAACAACTTGCGCCCCAAGAAGAAGTTGAAGTAGACGCTTCTTTCTCCGATGCGAAAAAAGCAGCTGTGCGCTTTCGACAAAAAAAAAAAACAAAAAAACTGTTTAGTAAATATAAATTTGTAACATAATCAAATGCGATTAAGAGCGAAATGTATTTACTTGCTATAAGACGCACCGTACATGCCCATGTGTCTGTTTTGTTGTGATATCGAGAGGACGGGACCAGGACCTGAATTTGGGATTGTGATACAGAAAATAACAGTGTCTTGTAACTAAAATCAATGTTTAATGTGCTTGCTAGTTGAAACTGGCTATCAAAAAGGCTTCTAGGCGTGGACTGTATCTACTTTCAACATGGAAACATCTTTTTGGATCCATAAATACCTTAAGATACTTTGCAGTTCCTCAGTTGGTGTCTTGTAACTAAAATCAATGTATAATGTGCTTGCTAGTTGAAACTGGCTATCAAAAAGGCTTCTAGGCGTGGACTGTATCTACTTTCAACATGGAAACATCTTTTTGGATCCATAAGTACCTTAAGATACTTTGCAGTTCCTCAGTTGGTAACTAATAAGGAACAAGTCTAGTATTGCCTTGAAGTTATGGTAAGTTGTAAGTTTCTAATAAGACGCCGCCAATTAAGTTAGCGTTAGTTAAATTAGAATGAATAGACCTTAGAGGTAGGCATCTCCAAACTTAAGTATTTATTCTTGGCTAAATCAACTTCTTAGTTAAATTAACTGTCAATATTCACCGTGTCTGGCTTGGTTAAAATGTATAGACCTTAGCAGGAGGCATCCCGAACCCAAGTATTTATATTCTTGGACAGCTTCGATTCCCGTATCGCTCTTATCATGTCCAGTAGTCTGTTCGTCTGTATAAACGCGTTCACCTCAAAAATTGGAACGTTGGTGAGAAACTCAAGTTTTTACCTTTGCAAAGGGTATTATATTGTTGCCGTGAATTGTGTAACGAATAGAAGGCAACATCTCCGACCCCATAAAGTATATATATTCTTGATCAGCACCAATAGCCAAGTCGATCTAGCCATGTCCGTCTGTCCGTATGTATGAACGCAAGGATCTCAGAACCTATAAGAGCCGAGAGCTCCCGACTAGAACCTCTTACTTGCTTTTTCATATCCTTCAGGTAAATTTGGTACATAGGTTTTCGTATAGCAGATATAGTTCTATATATATATTTAGATATAGAGTGTGAAAGCGTAATTTTATGAATGTACACACACACATATATGTATTATGTGTGTTTGTGTAAAAGGCATTTGTATTCTTGTTACGGCCTGACAGTGGTGCGTGGAGGAAACCTTTTCGCGCAGATCCCTTACCTGCATTATGATTTTACCCTAGCACAAAGGTGTTGCGTTAGAAACTCAAAGTGTTTATTTGTGGTTCGTCAATAATTGCAGTATTCTAAGTAATTAATTTTTAACAGCAACAATATGCTATTGGCCCACTGTGGCTACTACCGGTATTGTATTTTTGGCGTGCTGGCGTCTCATACAAAATACATTAATAGGTATTTTTCTCGGGGTTAACAAAAACGGAAAGGGAGAGAAATGTTTTAAAAAATGTACATGGTACATATTTGTTTTTCATTTTTGTTGTTTTGCGGACCACTTTTCGCTTCTGCACAGCTACCCCTAACAAAAAAAAATAAATAAAAACGTGCAGAGCTTGAAAGGCATTTTCAACCATCTTAATTTTGGGTGTCCATTTAACGCGATTTTGGAACTTTTAAATTCTTGCAGCGCACGTGGTAGGCGTCGGCGTCGGCTTCACTTTGTCTTTGAGTTTGTCTTTGCGCTTTTTTATGCTTTGGACGTAGTTTACATAACAGATGTGACCAGAATAATTAACAATGCTCGTTGCCAAGTGACCCAAATGTTATGACCCCCAGGAGCAGGACGCGAGTAACACAAGGGGAAGCATTCAGATGCCTCTCTTGGCGTTAACTTGTGGGCGGCCCAAGTACATTAATATTGCAGAGCGTAGCCCAGCGCGGCTGTCAGCCTCCCCATATTGTCCTTCATTCGTATTGAAGGACTTGTACATATACACTATGTACATAGGCACTGATAGGAGTTACCTGCGCTACTTGTTCCATATTCATATGCGACTCGGTAGTCGAAGAAGTCCTAATTTTCTTCATTTGCAGATGAGTACATTGCAGCTAGCAAGTCTGGGCTAAGGAGGCGGTTCAATGGAGTTGGGACAGCTCTGAGACCCAAAAGTCAATTCAGCCCCAAGTGCTCTTCAACGTGTGCCTCCAGCTGCTAACATTGAGTTTTATCGGAGATACGCACATACATATATACAAGGACACACAGATGCGTATGTACGTCTGAAGACGAAAGAAAAAAAGCGAAGAAAATGGACACAAATGGGGGCGTTAGCTCAGTTGCTACAAAAAAAGAAGCTGACAAAGATAAGACGTAGAGCAAACGTTTATAAATTGGTCGCTAGTGTGGGATCACGTGGATAATAATGGAATGGAATCGTCGGGAGTGGGATGGCTGCTTTTTGGCGGCAATCAGCGTAGCCACCAATTTAGATGTCAGGAATTTAGGCGGCGTATAAGAAATGTGTATAAATATTTTCAAAGGAGCAGCACGCAGCGCGCAGCGCAAGGCTTCCATTCGATACAAATGTGTTTTGTGAGGAAGCTCATGTAATTTAATATGCATAAATCGATACTTTTGCTGCGTACTCCGAGGCTGCCTTTACATTTACGTCTACATACCACCCGCACGTCACACCCCCTTCCACGGATCCGCGCATTGGCGTGCTTCTGTTGTATTGTGCTGTTTGTATTCTATTTTGAGCGCAAAATTGTTATTTGTTTTTATATATGCCCTTTACAAGTGCGTGTGTATCCTCGCATACACACACCTACATATATTTATATATATATATATATATATATATATGCTACTCGCCTTTATATCCTTTCTCCACAAACACACACAAATGTATCTATATCTGCGAGTGGAATTGTCTGCGCCTTCTTTGGGGTTTGCATATCTACAAGTTATGTTTTGTCATACAGTTAACATTTTCCGCAGATAAGCACTTCTGGCACATGGCGTTTTGTTGTATTGCAAATAATTTGAAAAGCCATTTTATTCAATTTCCATCGTACTTGGGAGCATTGAGCGAAGGATACGAGCTTAAACTAGCAAGTAAATAAGCATTTTACAATAACCTAAGCGGAAGCACTAAAACTAGACCGTCAGGCATACACGCAAACGGATAATCGCACAAACAGCCAGCCCATTGGAAGACATATTGATTTCCTTGATAAATACTTAATAAAATCCACTTAAGTACCGGGCCTTAAGAGAGCTATTTCGCCAATCTATTGGCCCAATACAGAAAAGATTTATGGCGAGTTTTTCCAACTGTCTGTTCGAGGCTCTAAATTAGAGTGAAACAGGATTAGATTCTAGTTGTCATTTGCCAATTTTAGCTATCAATAGCTTCTAATCTCAGCACTTGTATTCAACTTCCTCACTTTTCTTTGAGTTCGGCTCACATAAAAAACGAATTAATTTTCGTGCTTTTTGAGTTATTCGTAAGCAATTACGGACGTAGATTATTAACCAACTCATTTGAATTTGAGAAGTCATTTCCAATTGTTGAACATAACCAAGGCATTTATTTTTGGCTCTGTTTGAGCAGGAATTGAACAAAATATGAGCTCACAAATAGGTTAGCCCGACCAGATGCATCTTTTGGGCACTTAACACAAAATTTAAATTAATAACAATGCAAACGACTTATTGGATGGTCTGCACCAGAGCTGATGCTTCTGGGCACTTAGAAGAGTTTTCTTCCATATATCT